AGAGACACATAGACTCTGCTGGCACAACTGAACTATATTGCCAGTGTTATCGTTAATATTGGTCCTATTCTCTTTAGAGAAGTGGACAGGCTTTCGCCTACATCCATGTAGGCAAAAGCCTGTCCACTTCTCTAAACTACTAAAGAGAATAATAGCGAGCGCAGCGAGCGGCGCGAAGCGCCGCTCGTCACTGCGAGCTCTAACGACAACGCCTGGGCGAAGAGAAAATTCGGACTACTGCACATTCATTCAACAGAATTTTTTTCCGCAGTAATTCTGACCCACAATGCATCGCTTCTTGTTCTCGCTGCTAACTTCGTTCACGCGGTGACAACAACTAAAAATTCACACAAAATAAACTCACCTTAATTTAATGGATATTGCATGCAGATAGTAGATTAAACGTTCTTTTTTAAAATATTTGCACTTTTTAAACTTTGTTTATGGAAATGCAGCTAACATACGACGTCATGTGACGTCACAGTCTAGACGTTCCAAATGTCTCGTGCGGTTTGAAGAGGCGGATCATAATAATGAAGTGAACACTGCGCTCGCCCCAACGGTCGCACCGCCAACATATTATTGGTCCCAGCGAAATAAAGAACTCTGTCTTTTTTTGTATCATGTGCATTAAGTACTTACATTACCTTCTTTAACTTCAAGTCCGTTTGAAATACTCAATGTATAACATGGTTTACCAGGCAAACTTTCTTTGACAAAATGACAAGAAGGCGCTCTTTCAAAATAAAGGTTTAGACTAATACCCGCTTATCACGTATAATTACCCAGTTACCCTGGCTCACGGATTCATTTGTCTCAGTAAAGCTTATCCCCTCTTTCTAACATTACGTTTGATAAATTCTGATGGTGAAAGTTATTTTTCGTAATGAACATCTAAAATCTATAAGGATAGTACATAACAGTATTGTTTGTGTTTTTCTAGTATTCAATATTGAAATAATAAAATCTTATCATTCAACTCAGGGGCTAATATTACCTATTACTAAAACTTGTTCAAGATATTATCCATAATGGTAAATAATTTTGCAAATCACTTTTTTTTCAAATATAAGCTATAAGAATAACTTTTTAATGTGATTACTCCCCTATACTGTATCCTGTGGTGTTTTGTAGTTATTATACGTATCCCCCTAAATATAGGCAGGCGGTAAAACTAGTCTTGTTGACTCCCGTTCTCGACAGTCCCTGATTGCCTCCGTACCCTCTCAGACACATTCACTGAGTTGAAATGAATTACAAGTACATGTAATATATATATTTAGAGTGATCAGCTGGTAATTCGATAAAGATTCACATTTTAACTCTTAGCATGATAACATGTTGATTTTTTTGAGTTATGAGAACAACACATGCCAAGAAAAGGTACGCATTCTAGTTATAGAGCGAACTCAATAAAAGCGGAATTAGCGTTAATCTGTGATTTTTCCCCAGGGAGATGTGTGCGAGGCAATTAATGTCAGCAGTTTTGAGGGAAGGATCTTAAGTTTTACTGGTTTGAAATTAAAGCTAGAATACTTACTATTTAGAAGCCTTTGCACCTTTTTTCCTGTTGTTGTTTTTTTTAAAGGGGGGAAGGGGGGGGGGCGATTTTCCATGCAAATCATATACGGTTAAAAAAGTAAAAAAAAAAAAAAGAAGAAGAAGAAGAAAAAGAAAGTGAAATAAATTGTAGTGAACTAATTAAGTGTTCAGTAAAAATTAGACGCCTTTCAAATTTTTCAGTGTTTATATATCAAAATATTTTTTTCCTAGTATAAATTAACATCGGGCACGATGAACTTGGTTGTTGTGGAAGTCTCGCGCCTTATTAAGGTATCATAGCGGTAATTGACCAATGAAAATGAACTTAGTCAATTGTAGTTCCATACATATAAAATTATTATTTTTCCCTTTTGAATTTTTTTTTAATTTCCTTCCAGTCTATTTTTACAATTTTGGTACCTGTGTCTAGTGCATTTTACATATTTTGTAAATAAATAAAGGTTTTTGACAGGAACTATTTTTTTCAGGGCATAGGAGGCTACTTCCTGGGGTAGAAGTTTATTTTTCTTTGACTAAGAAAACGGAAAACTTAGGATCCACCCCCTCAAATCTGCTGCCGTTAATTGTCTCGCCAGCGTTAGGGGAATATGGGTGATTTGCATCAATTACACTTTTATTGACTCCATCGCTGTGGAAAAATGGACGGGATTTCTTGGCATGGTCAGAAAAATTGTGTAGATACATGTATAAGATCATTGGCCTTGTCATGATTTGCTCTTTTAAGGAGCGTTTTTTTTTTCTAAATTTTTAATAATTTGTGCATAAATAATTTTAGAGAGTGTTACTTTTGTCTATTGATTATGGTGTTCTGCAGGTTTCATGCATTTAACTCGACCCAGTAAATCAACATTAAGTCATTTTCTGTCTAAATATATTATTTCAAATGAATTTGATGCATTGGAAATGAAATTCAAACAAACAGAAGCACGGAAAAGGGGGGGGGGATGTCTTTTACCGTGTAACGTGAAGCGGTCGCCCATCCAAGGGTTATATATAGGCTTGCCGTTGCTTAACTTGCCTAAAATAGAGGGAGACTCTACCGCATCACTAGAAAAGCTAGCTTACTAGCGAGGCAGTATAAGTTCCCTATATACTGTTCGCTACAATAGTATGTTGAAGAGATACGAAAGGAAAATGAACTTCTTCCAAAAGGATCCAAACAATTGCAATCATAGTAACATCCATTGCATACTATACAAATATGAACAGAGTAACTTTATGAAATAGGTCAGGAAGAATCTAAGTTGCATTTTTTTAATCACTGAATTAGATTACATACAAGACAAATATTTCCGGAGTTTGGGTTCTAATTACGTTCAAATTTTGAAGTTCATGTGAGGTGGAAATACATCAAAATATATTAAAACTCCCACCCCAACCCCCAAAATGGGCTCAAATACAGTGCCAAAACATGAAAAGTGTCTATCCACAAAGCTGTCCATTCTGATGAAAAAGCATCGATCTATATAAAAAATGAGAATTTTTTATCAAAAAAAAAAAAATTAAAGAGGCTAATTTCTTGCTTATGAGTGGACAAAAGTTCTAGACGTCGTGTCACGTTCTTAAAAAACACATAATTTTAAATAATTTACTTTTCTTCATGCTTGCGGAGAAACGCAAACTGCCTTCGGCTCAGCCCTGGACCCAGTGCGGTCGATCCCTGCATCATTAAGGTTTTTCTTCCAATGGTCACCTGCTATGTACCTCACATGATAACCCAGGCACGTAGCATTAAGGGGAGGGGTTCCAATCATAACCTTTTTACTACTGAAAATGGTCATTGAAAGGCAGGTTTCCCCCTTTTTTGTTGCAGTATTTCAAATAAGGGTAATGTCCTAGTGTAATAAAAAAATTTAATAATAATAATAAAATTTGGTACTGACCCCCCCCCCCCCCCCCGAGTTTGGACAATTTTCCTTTTTTCCCAAAACTGAGCTACGTCCCTGTACCCAGTGTGATACATAAGAGTGAAATATGGAGATAATGAACAGTATTCGAGCTCAAAATCCATTAAAACAACACAAATCGGGAGCGAGCAAACACCGTCACGTACGGACCTCCAAAAACATCAGAGGTGGGATCAGGTGCCATGGAGGAGTGAGCATCCTCTGCCTACCGGTCACACCAGCCGTTTGCTCCTTATTATGATCGGTAAATAACAGGAAAATCCATTGTCAATTCAGTGTGTAAACAAAGACCTAACAAATAGTATGAAAAACGTCAGTCAGCATATGACTTAATGATAGATTGTATTTGCTGACAAGGTCATTGTATCGACCATAGAACTTACGAAATGATGACTTTAAACGAGACTGTTGATATTCTTGTTTCATCAACTTGTTTGTCAATAACTTACATCGTTTTAGAAATTGTTCATACGTAGAGCATGCTCTTACTAGATATAAATAAAAAGTTTACGTAGGCAGGGCCGGGACAATCATATGATTCTGAATATGATGACAGGCAATCTGATTAAAATCAGATCTTTGTTACGCTCCGAAATTCTGATGGTCGCTGTACAGCGACCATCAGAATTTCGGAGCGTAACAAAGATCTGATTTTAATCAGATTGGATGACAGGCAAATTCTGTCGAGTCGGATTGTTCATTTTTGATGCTTTCAGAAGAGTTCAGGGGACAGATTAACATTTCCAAGATAACAAGAGACAAATTTATCACTTGATTCCTTCAGTTTCTTACTTTAACAGTTTAATTGTGGTCACAAGTATTCGTAGTAAATATGATACAAGTAATATTGCAATATGAAGACTTATTAATACGTGTACGCCTTACATTTTCTTTAATAAATCATACCGTAACTTAACTGGAATCGTAGAACCACCCAACAGCTGCTCAAGGTAAGACTACTAATTTTCTTGTTAGATTACGATTTTTGTTAAAAAATTTCACGGACAGAATAACTTATTCTAAATCTGCTATAGCACACTCCTTCCCTTCTCAGAGTTAAATAGTCGTCCACTTGTATACAATATTTCTAAATTTCCCCACTAGTAGTTTTTGATTGATTTCTTTCAGATCTGCTTCTTTAAAAAGAAATCAAATGTCACATTACAACCTGCAAATAATCTAGCTATCATAGATGATTTTATCTCCATATTATAAGCTTAAAACAGAGACATATATAATAGATCTATTATATGTCTCTGCTTAAAACAACAATAGTACAAAATTGTCCTCACTAAAATGGTTATATCTGTCTCTATCGTACGAAAGAGACTGTATATACTAGTCATATTTATCGCACATATCAGACAATTAGTCCTGAGGCCCCAAATATGGAGCGCCGTTTCCGTCTTCGCGCCACCGGCTCCGGATTGGACTAGGATTACCACCTGCAATTTAAATTTTGAATTTTGATCGGACTCGGATTTTATTATTCAACTTCCTGTTTTTTTTTCTCTGGAGAAAACTTTATAATTTTTATTTTATCAAAGAAAAAGAGCAGTAGCCTAAGCGTATGTTAAGATTTAAAGTGAGTAAATTGTTGTTACATTCTACCAAAGATATGGTTACTGCGGGATGTGTTGGAAGTGTATAATTGCGTATACTTATAAGTATTTGAGTAAAATTTTACTTCAGCCACCTGGTAATTGCATTACAGTTTCAAAGGGATGCTTTGTTTTCTGGCAGTCTAAATTTAGGGGAAAATGATATTGTATATAGATAAGATAATGCACTATGTACCTTAACTTATAATAATTTATCCTCTATATATTCACTAATTGTATTGGTTGTATGAGAAAAACTAGCAGCAGAAATATTAGTTCTCTGGTCATGCTGGTTGATTAAAGGAAATCAATGGATGTTATATTTTATGTGGGGGAATGCATATAATACATGAAAAAGTACCCAAAGCGAGTGACAAAGGGGTGGCACTGTAAATCAATGCTTAGATCTCTGGTTTGTCTGTCTGAATTTTTTCAACCAGAGAGCTACAGTTTTTAGCTCACCTCAACGAAGTTGGGGGAGCTTATGTAATACCCTCGGCGTCGGCGTCCCAGGTTAAGGTTTTTGGAGCAGTTTTCTTTTCAAGTACTTCTATGGCCTATATTAGTCAGAGATGCATGGAGGATGCTTCTAGTGTGTTTCATTGTACCAGTCAAGGTTTCAGATGCTGCAATTTCAGCTAAAGAATGACCAGGTTAATGTTTTTGGAGCATGTTAAAGTTTTTGGAGCAGGTTAAAGTTTTTGGAGCAGGTCTCATTTCCAAGTAACTATAAGCCCTATATTGATCAAACTTGCATGGGTGATGCATCTAAGGATGCACACTACTGGACTTGCTTTGGATGCTGGATCTGACCTATATTTTCCAGATGAGTGACCAGGTTAAGGTTTTTGGAGTAGATCTCATTTCCAAGTAACTAAAAGCCCTATATTGACCAAACTTGCATGGATGATACATATAAGGATGTACACTACTGGACTTGCTTCGGATGCTGGATCTGACCTACATTTTCCGGATGAGTAACCAGATTAAAGTTTTTGGAGCAGATCTCATTTCCAAGTAACTATAAGCCCTATATTGACTAAACTTGCATGGATGATACATCTAAGGATGCACACTACTGGACTTGCTTCAGATGCTGGATCTGACCTATATTTTATGGATGAGTGACCAGGTTAAAGTTTTTGGAGCAAATGTCATTTCCAAGTAACTATAAGCCCTATATTGACCAAACTTGCATGGATGATACATATAAGGATGTACACTACTGGACTTGCTTCGGATGCTGGATCTGACCTACATTTTCCGGATGAGTAACCAGATTAAAGTTTTTGGAGCAGATCTCATTTCCAAGTAACTATAAGGCCTATCTGAACCAAACTTGCATGGATGATGCATCAAGGGACGAACAATCTCAAAACTTGCTTCGAATGCTGGATTTGACTTACATTTTCTGAATGAGTGACTAGTTTTAAGTTTTCAGATAAGTCTATTCCCAAGTAACTGCAAGCCCTATCAGACCAAAATTGCATATATGTTGCATCTAGGGATATACACTCCTAGATTATTAGTTTAGTGTGGGACTTTGCCTTACTTAAAGACAACATTTGTTGAGGTGAGCTCTGTAATCTCTGATTACCTATGTTTATTTTAAAAGGGCAGCTGATACAGGTCAAGACATATCCTTTTGATGGCTGGAGATTGTTTAAATGTTGGTCCAAAAGGGGGGGGGGGGTGCAGAAAAAATCATGAAAAAAATATAAATCACTATATCAATAAATTATCCAATCAAGAAAATTCAGGTTTAATGTGCTACACAATAAAGATAAGGATCGATCCTGTAGTGCCAAGGTCACGGCACAGGGGTCAGGCAAAGAAAAAGTATGTGCGAAAGACTTCTTCATTTCTCTCTCTCTCTCTCTTTTTCTTTTAGGGTGCAACTTTTATCTTCTTCCTTTTCCTTTCTAATTTTCTATTGAGTTTTCCCTTTCTTCTGATGCCTAGATAGTGTACCTGCCTATTAAGCAGAACCTATACTAACCAAAGTTTGAAGGGTATGGGAATCCGGAAATTTGCTTTCATGAAACCCTTTTGCCTGTTGCATATCTGAGGATCTATAAAATTAGACAGAATAAAGACACAGCTTTGTTATTTGAACAACTGATTAGAACACAACTTCCTCCTATGATGCATTCCAAATATGAAATCCTCCCCTGGGGCCCAGCACAGGGGGTCAGAATCTCTATTTTTGGCCATTACGCATTTTTATGCATACTGGTACATGTATTATTATTATGGCCCTGGAAAGGATATATATTTGACATTGTTATCAGTTAAAATGCTCTGAATATATAGATAGTTTTCGTATGATGTATTTTCCCTTCGAATTATTCTCCTTGGCCACCATTTTGGAGGTCAAACTAATGAATTTTTTTCTCTTTGAGCAACCAGTGTTAAACATGTATGGCAGAAGATTAAGGAAAAAATCTTTAAAATACAAAAATTATGAATTAAAGGAAGCTTTTGTAAACATATATTCCTAAGAAAAACTGTGTTATCTTCACCTCATTGCCTAGTATGACAAGTTTAAATTGGTTAAATAATTAAGAAATCTGGGCTTGTTGACCTCCAATGTGGCGACCAACAGAAAATAGCTCTTGCTAAAATCATGTCTATCAAAAACTATCTATTATTTCTGAAAAGATGCAACTACTGTCTTCCTTTGAATTTCTTGCAAGAACTAAATTTGGTCACCTGTATGTTTTATCTGCCATTATTAATGTTCTAAAGAAATTGTGGAAGCCATCAGGCATTTTCCTGACTTATTTTTTGGATGTGCTTACCTGGCCCCCCTTTTAACTAAAAATCAGTCATATTTCCTTGATTTTTATCTATATGTATTTTAATTTCTCTATCAGGTTTCAAGTAAAAAATGCTATAAAAAATCCTAATCTAAACATTTGATGCATCAAAATTCTCAAATCTATGGACCCTTGACACACTTTGAAAAAAAGATAACTCGTGGCTTTGTGGATTCAGGGAATTAGAAAGCAAGAATTAGCTTAACTAATTTGCAGATTTCAGATTGAATTTCCTATGGTCTTACATATTAGTGTAAAGAGCTAGTTGAGCTCACTATCATATGGTAAGAAGTCGTCAGCTTTTGAATTTGTTTTAATTTATAGGAGCTTATTGATGTCTATTTACCACAATGGAAGAAAGCAATCCCCCTGGAAAAGATCAAAATAATGACACAGAAAAGGCAGAGGAGAAAGCTAAAAATCAAGTAACGTCACAAAAGAATCAATCTGCAAATGCCACCTCTAGAAATCCTCAACCGTCTTCCCTAGGTGCATCAGCTATATCCACAGAAGGAGAAAATGGTCAGCACTATGGCAGTGCATTACCTTCAAAACATCCTGATTCTCGTGCACATAACCTCACCACTGTAAGTTCCCCTACAGTTCCTTTATCCACCAATTCACTGTGCTCTAGTCCTACATGTATGCCACTTGCTTTGGCTGCTGGATCTCTTTCATCAGGTGCTAACAGTCTAACAGACTTTGAAAAACAGGTAAAAATATCAACAATATAATGTACAATATCATCTTGATATGATTTGGTTATCAGGGTTCTCACTAGGATTTTGCTAACTTGAGTCCCAGGACTCAAGGTTTCTGAGAAGGTTGCGTCCCAGCTAAATTTGATGCGTCTCAGAAAAATTATGTTGAGTCCCAACTAAATTATTGCAGTATCCTTCCATCCAAACATCAATAAAAATCTTTATCATTTTATCAGTTTGTTTACGCAGTATTAACATATTCAAGTATATAAACTGGTAATGCATTCAAGCTATATTCTAAAATACACGCGTAATCAATTGCCATAAAAATAACTTGGTGTTTATAAAGCTAAAAAATCAAGTACCCAGAAGTTGACTGTATACAATCACAGGTGTCATGTGCAATGAGGCGTAACTAATCCTGTCGGTCGTCTGCACTGGGTGAAATTCACGAGGTAATCAAGCCGCATTGTGTATACAAGCAGTAATTATGGTTTCTACATGTAGATAACACTCAAGATTCAAAAGTGTTTTTTAAAAAAAGCTGCAGTGTGTTTACAGCTGTCGGAGTTTGGCATGCGACACTATTATGACTATGGACTAATAAACATGAAATATCTTATGATCAATCCCTGTTTTAAAAAAAAAACAGAAGTAAGTATAAGAAAAGTTGTTTCTTGGATAAACTTTATGATAGTTACAGGAAGGTTTCGATTAAATATTTCTTTGACAAATCCTAACATCTAAATTCCCCGTTTTCGAAATCACCCGAATTTTCTCGCTAACGAGGACGCGTCCGATCACGAGTCCGCGGACGCATCGTTTTTAAGAACCTTGCGTCCCAAGTAATTTTGCTGCGTCTAGGACGCAGATTCTTGCGTTAATGAGAACCCTGGATGTTTTGATTTCTTTTATAATCTGATGCTAGTTGTGTCTTTCTGTCTGAATTTAAACTAATAAGAACTATACCAATCTAAATTAATTTTGAATTTGATAACTGAGATATCTAAGTATTTTCATAGTACATGTATCTCCTTTTCTATTGTTATACATAAAGCACTAGGTAAATAAATGAATGGCTAAGTATCTGGAATGTTTTGCAAAATGAAAATCTCTGTTGCATTGTAATCTAGATATTATGTTGATTTTTCAAATAAAATCAAATTGACTTTGAGAGTTTTCAAATGTCAGAGTTGAATCTTTGTTTATTGTAGGTGATTAATGCAACCAGTGGATCTATAGGACATGGTAATGCCCCTTACAACTGGCAGTCCACAAAGACCTCCGTCAAAGAGCGTTTACACTACCTATATAACACAGAGATAATGTGTGACATCCACTTCCTTGTCGGAACCTTGCCCAATCAACAAAAGATTCCAGCTCACAAATTCATTCTGTCTGTTGGGAGTGCTGTGTTTGATGCCCAATTTAATGGACCAATGGCCACTTCAGATGAAGTTATTGAAATCCCTGATGTTGAACCTGCAGCATTCTTGGCTCTACTCAAGTTTCTGTATTCTGATGAGGTCACAATTTGCTCTGATACTGTGATGACAACTTTATATACTGCTAAGAAGTATGCAGTTCCTGCATTGGAGAAAGCATGTGTGGATTTCCTGAAGCGCAATTTGAGTAGTGATAATGCTTTTATGTTGCTGACTCAGGCACGACTCTTTGATGAACCTCAGTTAGCAGCTCTCTGTTTGGAGACCATTGATAAAAACACTTCTGAAGCCATCATGGCTGACGGTTTTACGGACATTGACAATGATACTCTCTGCGTAGTTTTAGAAAGAGATACACTCGGCATCAGGGAATGCAAACTGTTTGCAGCAGTTTGCAGATGGGCAGAGGCTGAGTGCACTAGAAGAAATTTGGCTCAAACCTGTGAAAATCAGCGAAATGTTCTAGGAAGGTCTTTGCGTCTTATCCGCTTTCCACTGATGAATGTGGAAGAGTTTGCTCAGGGAGCAGCTCAGAGTGGCTTACTGGAAGACAGAGAGGTGGTCCAGCTTTTTCTCTACTTCACTGTCAATCCCAAACCTCAGATCAGCTTCCTGGATGTACCCCGGTGTTGTCTTACTGGAAAGGAACAAGTGGTGTCTCGCTTTTGTCAAATAGAAAGTCGCTGGGGATACAGTGGCACAAGTGACAGAATTAGGTGAGTAGTTTATGGTGGCACTTTTGACAGAATTAGGTGAGTAGTTTTATAGTGGCACTATTGACAGAATTAGGTGAGTAGTTTGCAGTGGCACTATTGACAGAATTAGGTCAGTATTTATAGTGGCACTTTTGACAGAATTAGGTGAGTAGTTTATGGTCGCACTATTGACAGAATTAGGTGAGTAGTTTGCAGTGGCACTAGTGATAGAATTAGGTGAGTAACTTACAGTGGCACTGTTGACAAAATTAGGCGAGAAATTTTATTGTAAAGATGTGATTTGATGGTTTCTAATTTTAAGCATTATTGTATGCAGCTTAAATTTTGCCATTGATTAAATAAATGCATTTTTTACTGGTCAATTTCTTTTTACACTCTTACGACCTTTTGTGTAGTTTTCTAATGCCTCTGTGGATTATTTTTAATTAATATAATATTAATTTCACTACAGCATTATTCCAAAGATTTTTCTCTGTGAGAAGATCAATAAAGAAAACTGCAGTTAAATGAGAAATTAGTTTTAAAAGCATGAATCAATCACTATACATGTATATGCAGCCATAGTCGTACTTTTGTTCTCATGAGCATTCAATGCATGTATTTATTTTGAAATGTATATTATTGTAGATTCATGGTAAACAGAAGGATCTTTGTGGTTGGGTTTGGTTTGTATGGGAGTATACATGGACCAACAGAATACCAAGTCAACTTACAGGTCTGTCTGATCAATTCCACTACTTAAGTCAACTTACAGGTCTGTCTGATCAATACTACTACTTAAGTCAACTTACAGGTCTGTCTGATCAATTCCCTACTTAAGTCAAATCTCAGGTCTGTCTGGTCAGTACTACTACTTAAGTCAATTAACTTACAGGTCTGTCTGATCAATTCTACTACTTAAGTCAACTTACAGGTCTATCTGATCAATTCTACTACTTAAGTCAACTTACAGGTCTGGCTGATCAATTCCCTACTTAAGTCAACTCTCAGGTCTGTCTGGTCAGTACTACAACTTAAGTCAATTAACTTACAGGTTTGTCTGATCAATTCCCTACTTAAGTCAACTTACAGGTCTGTCTGATCAATTCTACTACTTAAGTCAACTTACAGGTCTGTCTGATCAATTCTTGTCATTTTACACATCTGTCTGATTGATTCTTCTTGTATGATGGCCACCAACTCTTTATTGTCAAGAAGATGGAAAATGATTCATGTATTTAGATTTCCTGATTGAGGAATTTTTATGCTTGAATATGTGTTGCCTGTAATTAAAAATACTTTAGTTTTTAGGGATTTTCTTGTAATTATTAATTTGGGTTATATGCTTAACAGGTGATTCAGTCTGATTCTCTGAAAGTAATGGGTCAGAATGACACAACCTTCCTTTGTGATGGGACAAACAACACTTTTAGAGTGATGTTTAAAGAACCAGTTGAAATTTTGCCAAACATCAGCTACACAGCCTGTGCTACGCTCAAGGTAAATATGTTAGGTATTACAGATACAATGTAGCAGCCAGAAAAAAGCAGAAGGATTCTAATAAAGGATACCAAATACAGTGGAAAATTATTACAATATTCATTTTATCTTGATAAAATATCATTATAGAGAGTCAAATGTAATAAAAGTTCCCATTAAAAACAACACTGGAAATTGTACATGTGTACATTGTATTTCCATAGATGGGGATGTGTGTGTTTTTCATTCTGTTTCCTTCTTAAAACACTTTGATACATTATTTTATTAAGAACTTATCTTACATGTGTATATTATATTTCTTTTTGCTATTACATGTAATACTGGAACATGGAATGAATGCAAAACATCTGGGTTACTTTTTAGGGTCCAGATTCTTACTATGGTGCTAAGGGACTGAGGAAAGTTACTCATGAATCTGTTTCAAGTGGAAAAGTAACATTTCAGTTTACTTATGCCTCTGGCAACAACAATGGAACCTCAGTGGAGGATGGACAAATCCCAGAAATAATCTTTTATACATAGACAAGCCCTCTCCACACTTGAAGTCACACAGCTGTAAAGGTCTCCTTTTACACAGATTTAAACAGCTGTATATATTCATCTTTGACGTGAAATCACACAACTGTGGTACCCCTTTATACAAAAAGATTTATGCAGCTGTGAAAGTCATCTCCTACCCATAGAGTTAATATAGAGGTAAAAAGCCATCTACACACAGAGTCAGAATAACTTTCAACTTACCAAATCTACAACAGATTCAAGACAACAGCCCTAGTATATACACATGGGACACAGACCTGAACAGTCTTCTTACAAGGAGAGGCAACACACTAGTGCACAGCTCTGACTACCAGGTGGAAGTTTTGCACAATTCAAGGGCTACTAAATATCTTTGTATGACAGGGATGAAGTTCAATATATACTCTAACAGTTTAATTTCAAACCTCAGAAGTGATAATTCAAATATCATGGATATGGAGAAGGGATTTAACATCTCAAATTCTTTTTCTTTATGCATTTTAACTTCAATATCTCGAGCCCTTGGATATTGAAGATTTTTTTCTTGGTTCCACTGAGTTTGATATAACAAGGTTTGACTGTATATATAGACATGTGATAAGAAAAAGTCTGTAAAACAGTTTCTTTTTTCTGTGCATTTGCTTTCAAGCATTGTGATACAATATTGATTTGTAACTACATGTATTTATCTGTATCTAAGATATTTTTATTTACTGTATTTTCTGAGTGTGGTTTCTTGGTACATGTATATGTTAAATAATATTTATACTAAGAATGTGAAGAGGTTTGGAAATGTGGCTTGTTTAGTTATACCACAGGTCAGTTACATGTATATGCATGTATTTGCTATTAAATTTAAGCTTTCTAAATGATATTTAAGAAACTAATATTTGATTTAATTTGAAGATATTATGGAGTGAAAAATGCATGTAACTTAATATGGTCTAAATGTAGGCAAGTATTAAACAAGTATTAGATGTGACCATAACTGTTCTTGTACTTGACTTTGCTGTCCATTGTTTAAGTGAATTTGATAATGATATGGTATGAAAAAAAATGTTAAAATTTGATTTCATATAATAAGGCACATTTACAATATATATAGCATTTTCCCCATATTGAAAGAGTTTGGTTTTTGTGTAAGTCAGTTCCCTTTGTCCTGATGATTAGCTTTGCCAATGTGCATAATCATAATGTATGTTTGTCTTTTATTTATTTTGATAAATGTTATAAATGTTATAAATGTTGATGCTTCGATGAAAAAAAAAACCTGTTCTTTTAAATTATCAAGAACTTGTATACCTTGATATTTATGTACAAACAGTTTTCTGTATCAATTTGAATGTAATCTTACATGTACACAATGTGTGTTGAATAGCTATTTATTAAAAATTTTCAGTGATGACACCCATTTGATTTCTCGATGTATGTTTGCAAATGAAGTTTAGGGGGGTATATTGGAATCAGCATGTCCATCTGTCTGTAGATATGATTTTGTCCATACTTGTTCTTGGAGACTACTGCATTTGTCTGAAAATTTGTACACTCATTATTCACCCTATTAAGATGTGAACCTGGTATTTTCTTCATGGTTGGATAATTTTTCTTCATGGTACAGGTTTTAAAAAAATTTTATTGACTTAGTGATTTTCGGTTCATGTAGATTTGAGACATAGAATCAAAAAACTCTCAGTAGGTATGTCTGTAGAAAAATGTGAATTGCAGCTTAAAACCAGGTCAATAATAATTAAAAAAAAAAAATAAACAAGTATTAAAAAAAATTTATGGTAGACAGTCCGTACAAATCTAAGAGTTACGCAGTAACCTTGTTAGAAAAATGTTGCATCAAGATTACACACTAATTTGATATTGTATGAAATGATATTTTTATTTTATTTTTTTTTTATATCTCAACAAAAAAAATGCAGAGTGTAATGCCTCACAAAGATGACAGATAGTTGCAATTGCAATACAATTTTCACTGTCAGTGTTAAAACAAATTTTGAACACCTCTTATGTCCATAAATACTTTTAGTGACTTGGTACCTTTTCTGAAAAACCCAGAGGGGGTGGGGGGTACCTGTAATTGTCCATTTTGGACAGTTTAAGATTGACTTATCATCTGATAACTCATGTAACTGTTGAATAGTGAACTATTCAACAGCTAGCAGTTGAATAGATACATAACTATTCCACAGGCTGTTCCCCATTCATTCTTGAAGCAACTACACAAGCAATTTACATGAAAAAAGTGCAATTGAAATGTTATTAGAAAACATTTTACAAATTCATTTTCATTGATTTTGAAGAAAATTTTGAATTTGTGAGCTTTTAGTGATCAAGAGATACACATAGTTTTCATACACCTTTTAATTCCTTGATTTTTATCCCTTTCTATCAAAGCTCATAAAAGGAATAAACTTGCATTAGACAGCCTTGAAACACTGTTAAGATGTGTGTGCTCCGGTAGGTTGTCAGCGTATCCTTGTTGCTGCTATAGCTCTCAATATGATGTTTGTAAATCCTCACAGGTCTCCTTTATAAATTATACATTTACATGAATTTTAAACATCTGATTTAGTTCATAAAATCCACATACATCAATCTGTTTCCAAATAATTTTTTTAAGGCACAGTACATGTATCTTCACCAGAACTATTTATTTATTCTTTTTGTTTGCATTTATCCATTTTCAAAATAACTTGCTTGTGTCCATGAATAAAAATTATTATTCCAATGCTTGTAACCTGGTAATATATATTTAGGGACCCTTTGGAACTTTAATTGTGAAACCACTGAACTATGAAATAGATGAAAACTGTGGTAATCACATGACTGTGTTCAGTGGATTTACTTTGTTGTAATACAAGTTGAATAAATGAATGGTTTCATTCTTACTGGGGCTCTATTAGAGGAATATTTTTGAAGTATGTAGCATAAATAAGAAGATGGTGTTGAATCATGTCCATAAGAGCTCAAGAGTTTAAAAAATGTTAAAGAAATAGGAACATAAATAAATTGGTTTTAGGATTAATTCTTATTTGCTTCTGAAAGTTGTAGATCTCAGATTGGTCTTCCATATTGAGATAAAATGATAATCATTAAGATACGCTGTTGGTTTGTAAGTGATGGAGTAACTGGTTACAAGTACATTATCTACCAGTTGTTGGAAATCTGAACGCTCTTGTTTGATATTAAACAAGAAAGAAGCATATAAATTTCATTTGTCATGACTGATTATTGTAATAACTTCATGAAGAATATATAAGGCCATGATCTTTAAAAAAATTGTTTGCTTGCCCTTTCCTGACTCGGGATAAAAAATGTGGATAGGTATAGGGGGATTTTTTTATATTCAAAAACACTTGCGAATGTATAAAGTTAAATAGTTATTAAAAGGCGAGAAAACTTTTGAATGAATGAATAAATGTTTCCTGGAGGTTAAAAAAAGTTTTGAGTTGGGATGTTTTTAGTGAGTCAGTTGGGAGAGAGCAAACAAACGATTTTTTAAGATGGCCTAATGTAACCCAAAGTGCTGTCATAATTAGATTTTACATATATGAAAATTGTCAACCATTTGGAGATTTGTTAATTAAACTAATTTTTAATTTATAGTCTAGCCAAAATAAGTGACTAATCATTATGTGTCACTTAATTTATTTATTATAAACTGTATTTATTTCATTCAATATTCACATGTTGTCGTATAAAAAAAGAAAAGAAATAAAGCTTATGTTAAAGAACGCTGTGTTATTATTTCATGTATCTTCAGGGACAGCTGTGCTACCTATGCTAAATTCTCTCTCTCTCTCTCTCTCTCGTCATGATGCATAAATATAATTTCTACTTGGGCAAGTAATAATATGCTTTTGAGGATGATTTACTAATATTCGTAGCGTAGTTTTGGTGAAGTTGTAAAATGTGAAAAGGTAAAGATCTGACAGGATTCTGAAAGTAAAGTTATTGGATTCTTTTCCTATTAAATTTCATTGTGATTTGCTTTCATTGAAATAAGCTGACATGCTTTGTACCATCGTCGCAAATCTCAACCAAAATCTCCCATTCTTTGTAGTATTTCTATTTTTGTATTTTCTATTTTTAACTTATATGGTCGGGATCGTTCGACAGCTACAAACCTTAAAAGTTATAAGAAAATCATAACCTTCGCGTTTAAGAAAAATATATTTATAGCTTTTTTTCATACCATCATCAACTTATCAAGTGGATAATTATCAGAGACATTTGTACATTCTTGAAATTGATTGATTGGTTTTTTTTTGTTGTTCCTTCTGAAATCGAGATCGAGATTTCAAATATTCATTATTTGATAGTGTGGATTGACTGGAGGTATAATATATATTATACCTCCTCTTGACTGACTGTCTGTCTTACGAAACACTTCCATGTTCAAAGGAAAATGGAAATTGAACAATGAATATTCTTTTTAAAAAAAACATTTGCCTGTTTTAACTATATTGATCAATTCTTAAACCAAAACATCGATGAAATGTAAATAAGGTAAGCCATACGAAATATAGAAGATTTGATATTTCTGTTTGACCTTTAAGTTTAACATTACATGTAAATTGTAAACATATCACTGCACCGGGTGACGCAAGTGATGTGCATTTTTTACACGGGGAAACAAGAAAACAAGTTTTTCTTTTATTAGATCAATTTATTTTCTGTTGTTTCGATATCTATGTAGTACATGTATAGGGATATACCACTTCTTGATTTGCTTTTAATGCCCCACCCCCATCTCTTTCATGTAATATTGTTATATTATGTATATATCCCAGAAGTAACCATAAGTAAACTTTACAGTGTATGATGGAGGTTCAGATGCTAAGAAAATTCGTTGTCTTGGGACGAATCCATACCATATTTGCTTTTTATCGCACTGGAGCAGATGGATTAGATCTCGCTGGAAATGTGTATTATAGAAATAGGCCAGCACCGTTTGTCAAAGTTGTACCGAAAAAGATGTATAGATTGATAAAAAACAAAACCAAAAAACATGTAATGAAAAGTTTGCTAAAAGTAGTTTCTGTGATCAGCAACAAGTGATAAGATTTTGGGAGAGTTTAAAATATCTTGGTGATTAGAATTTTCTTGATTTTTTTTTTAAGATGGACCATGGGGTTAGAATGGGGCTAAAACCAGGAATCTAATTTTACATAATGCATATTTACAGGAAAAAAAAATCTCCAGAACAGCAAGGTCATGATAATAAGTCATATTGATATTGTAGGATCCCCATGGGCCATGCATATGGTGCTTGGATTGACCATTCGAGTTTGGTTAAGTCATGAACCCTTGGAGCTAAGGTGGGGCTTCAATATGGGGTCAAATTTTTTTCTTGTGAATTAATAGGGAAAAAAACTTCTTAAGATCAGATTGTAAAACAAGAGGCCCAGGGGCCACATCGCTCACCTGAGCACTATGGCTAGGAAAAAGCAGAAATCAGTACAGTTTTGAAAGGTTGAAAAGTTTAAATATAAAAGTGGTTGGGGGAGGGGGGGGGCATGAATTAAACAAATTTGAATCTAAATTACCTGAGGATGCTTCTATTTAAATATGACCAATCATGGCTTTGCTGTTCTTGAGTAGAAGATTTTTAAAGATTTTTCCTATATATTCCTATGTAAAACTTTGATCACCCATTGTGGCCCCACCCGACCCCCAGGGGTCATGATTTGAACAAACTTGAATCTACACTATCTAAGAATGCTTCCATATAAATATGACCGATCTTGGCTTTGATGTTCTTAAGAAAAAGTTTTTTTTAAAGATTTTTCCTATATATTCCTATGTAAAACTTTGATCGCCCATTGTGGCCCCACCTGACCACCGGGGGTCATGATTTGAACAAATTTGAATCTACACTACCTGAGGATGCTACCATGTAAATATGACCAATCATGGCTTTGCTGTTCTTGAGAAGAAGATTTTTAAAGATTTTTCCTATATATTCTTATGTAAAACTTTGATTGCCCATTGTGGCCCCACCCGACACCCAGGGGTCATGATTTGAACAAACTTGAATCTACACTACCTGAGGATGCTTCCATGTAAATATGACCAATCATGGTTTTGCTGTTCTTGAGAAGAAGATTTTTAAAGATTTTTCCTATATATTCCTATGTAAAACTTTGATTGCCCATTGTGGCCCCACCCGACACCCAGGGGTCATGATTTGAACAAACTTGAATCTACACTACCTGAGGATGCTTCCATGTAAATATGACCAATCATGGTTTTGCTGTTCTTGAGAAGAAGATTTTTAAAGATTTTTCCTATATATTCCTATGTAAAACTTTGATCGCCCATTGTGGCCCCACCCAACCCCCGGGGGTCATGATTTGAACAAACTTGAATCTACACTATCTGAGGATGTTTACGTGTAAATTTGACCAATCATGGCTTTGCTGTTCTTGAGAAGAAGATTTTTAAAGATTTTTCCTATATATTCCTATGTAAAACTTTGATCGCCCATTGTGGCCCCACTCGACCCCCGGGGGTCATGATTTGAACAAACTTGAATCTACACTACCTGAGGATGCTTCCACGTAAGTTTTATATTTTTTCAAGCACAGTGGTTCTTGAGAAGAAGATTATTTAATGATGCCATTAATTTTTCACGAATTCATAATTATCTCCCCTTGGAAGAAGGCATGGCCCTTCATTTGAAGAAACTTGAATTCATTTTACCCAAGGATACTTTGTGGCAAGTTTGGTTGAAATTGGCCCAGTGGTTCTTGAGAAGAAGTCAAAAATGTTTACAGACGGACTATAGACAAAATGTGATCAGAAAAGCTCACTTGAGCCTTCCGCTCAGGTGAGCTAAAAAGGAAGGGCCAGGATGTCAGGTGAATTTGGTGGCCAGTGGGCCTTTTGTTTTTCATAGTATAATTAGTAAATTACTTTCATTTTTTGAATATTAGAATGTTCAGCAACTTCTTCTATAAACATGGACTTTTTTGTGCCAGTCGACCATGGGAGGTCATTCTTACCACGCTCACCCTCTCAGCTTGTTTGGCTTCAGTAGGAATTATCACAACACCTGACAAGGTGTGTGGCTGGAACTATGAATGTGAAAAACATCAGGTAAATCTATTATTCAATAATTCAAATTTATGTAAAAGAATCCAACATTTCAGAAACAATAGCATATTTATATATAGTCAATAAATATATTTATTTATAGTATGGTATATATATAAAAATAGTCTTTGTATTTTTAACAGGACAAGGAGAACAGCAAAAATGATCACATTTTCCTGCCCATCATCAAACTATCAGCTGTCCTTTACACTTATCTACAATTCAGAAATCTTCGCAGATTTGGAACCAGATATCTTTTGGGTATTTACTGAGCTATAAAATATACTGAACTTGGTACTTATGTCTGAGTTAAAGTCCACTAAAGAAAATCAACGATTTTTAAACTAAAACCATATTATTGTTTTTGTTTGTTTGGGTTTTTTTTTTTTTGGGGGGGGGGGTGGCATTATTTGGTCTTCCCAATAGAAATAAAACTAGTAAAAGGAAATATTTTTGCTTGAGACATAAAGAAAGATTTATTACATAATATTTATTTTGGTATATTGCAGGCATATCTGGGATATTTACTGTGTCTTCCAGTCTCGTGTTCAGTATTGCTATCATTAAAATGTTTGGCAATGATCTCTCAGGATTGACGTAAGTAATTTTTTATTTTGTACATTTATAGGTTCTTATGGGTAATACTTTCTCTAGAGAATATACGAACTAAATCAAAGGGGTTTCCCCCCATCTTTTATTCCTACAAGAGGTTGCTTACACAATACTGCATTGTATTTAGGGAAGCCTTGCCATTCTTCCTTCTACTTATTGACCTCTCTAAGGCATGTGCCTTGGCCCGCTTTGCACTGAATTCTAAAAGCCAGGAGGAAGTTCAGGAGAACATTGCCCATGGAATGTCTATACATGGCCCAGTCATGACGCTAGATGCTATTTGTGAGATTCTAGTCATTGGAGTGGGCACCTTGTCAGGTAAACAAGTTACTCTATGAACTCTCATTCTTTCAACATTGTATATTTTCTTAAAGATGACTTCAGAAGTAATATTTTTTAGAAAAAAAGTACAGTGTATTTCTTGACAGTCTACATATTTTAGAAATTTCATATAATGTATTATTTATTAATGATGAGCACCTTGTGTAAATAATATTTTTTATCTTGTTTTCTTCTCCAGATGTCACCCATTTAGAGATGATGTGTTTCTATGGTTGTTTGGCTGTCCTGGCTAATTACCTGGCTTTTATCACGTTGTATCCTGCATGTTTGGCTTTATTCCTAGAGGTAAGTTCTTCAGTCAGTCTCATAAATCTTTGTTGGAACCATTATATTATGTACATTTACACGTATGTATTGGCTAGTATCCTGGGAAAGTTTTCATGAAGATCGTACATCCTGTGCGTAAGAGGATTTTTTTTTTAAAAACAATAGGTAGCAAGAAAGAGAGGTAGAGGCAAAGGATTAAAGCATCTACAGCAGTTGGCTCAGATTTTACATGAAGAAGAGAAAGATGTGAGACCAAACCCTGTCACCCAGAATGTCAAAATCATTATGGTTAGCATTACTTTATAAATGTATGCAGCTTCTGATTTCAGGAATGATATTTTCATAATTTTTTAGGAATGTATCTGTAAATATCTGGATGAATTTACTTTTTATTTTTGTCTTTATTAATTGACAATGGAAGTAAGTTTAAACATAGATTTATTTTGACAGATTCATAGTTCTGTGAAAACAGCAAGAATAAAACTGCTGCGAAAATAAGGCAGTATACAGTATTGTTAATGCATGTGATATAAGCTCGTGAAATATGTGAAGATAATGCGTTTGTATCCCTGTAGTGACTGAGTATTTTTTTCCCCCTTTTTTAGTCTGCTGGCCTGCTGATGGTCCACTTCCACAGCCGTTTTATGGCAAATAAGAAAACCATGGATATGATTGGAAAAGATATGGCCAGCACCCAGTATAGAGAACCAGATGTTTCACTGTGGTCTTTCTACATTCAGAGGTATAGTATCTCTGTACATAAAAATATTCTTTGATTGTGAGAGTTTGGGGAGGACTATTTGATTGGTGGAGGGATGGAGGGGGGCTGGCAGAATTCGGAAATAATTAATTTGTCCCTGAAACTGTAGAAAATCAATAATTTGTCTTCCTCTTGGAAGAAAATAAGTGATCTGTCTTTACAGGTGTCAGAAATGATCAGATCCCCTTAAGATTTTTATATTCATTTCAATGAAAATCTCAAGAGCAGGTCAACTGGAAAACAGTAATTGTAACTTGTTATAACACATTTACATCATGTACACCACTTAAGTACTTGTTTGATATAAGGTTACACTTTCCTTAGCTACTTAGGTTCATTCATGTGCTCATTTATAATGGACTTTCTTTTTTATGCAGATTGTTTACAGTAAAGGCAGATTCTACTTTCACTTTGGCTTTGGCCATTTTCCTGATTGTGAAGTATGCATTTTATGATGACAACTCAATGGAATATGAACTTCTTATGTCTTCCACAAATAGAGAAAACCCTGAAACAACAACAAATGTATCCACACCAAAAGATTTAGATCAGCTATGCAGTGGTATGTTAAGTAGATTGTGCATTACATATCAATTTTATTCAAGTTTTCCTTTTTTCTCATTTTGCATTATTTTATGAAGCATTTGAAATTAGTTTCCAAGAGATTTAATACATTCAGTATGATCAGAATAAATATTCTGCAAAATTCCCTTCCATGAATATTTTACTGGAGACCGTATTTACTAAGAATTTACTAGTATTCTGTGTGTACTTCTGAAAATGTGTTTTGCCTACATTTATTATGTGGAGAATATTATAGACTCCACGACAGAGAAGGAGAAGCAAGTTGATTTTATACTTGGAGAGGATTCATCAGACTCAGAATCAGAGAAGACTGTGACACATGTAGAAACACAGACAGACATTGATAAATTGTTATACTCACCACTGCAAAGAATTCCCTCCATAAGGCCTCCAAGATCTTTGGAGGAGTGTTTGCAAATTCTAAACTCAGAGGTACTGTTACATGTCAATTATTTTAAGGATTACGAGATTTAATTGCTAGGTGTAAATAAAAAAATGTAGTGCGTATAGCACAAATACCTACATCTATATTGTGATTTTAGGTTTTGCAGATGTTTATTTACTTTTTTTTTGATATATAGGAAGGTGCAAAGTCTTTAACAGATGAAGAGATATCAAATCTAGTCAAAAGTAAACACATTCCTTCTTATAAATTAGAAACAATGATTGGAGATGAGTGCAGAGGTGTTCATATTAGGTAGGACTTCAGTATATCATTCAGAATGTGGCAGTAAATATCGGTAATATGAAACCTGTCCTGAACTGTAAGTTCTGCTGGCAATTATGTCATTTTTTATACTTTCTCATTTTTTTCCTCAGGAGAAAGATGTTGACTGAGGAATTGTCATCTACAGATGCATTGGATGGACTGCCTTATGAAAATTATGATGGCTATGACTTGGTATGTATATGTATTACTGTATATTTATATGCCCCACTTGAAAAGTTTAGGGTATATAGTGATGAGGATTTCCGTCCATCTGGAACTTTCATTGTTGAGAAGATGAAAGCATATTTTGTGCATGTTTTATGCATTGCAAATTTCTTGTACAAGCATTTAAAAACAATAGAACGATAATAAAACTACCGATTATTAATCAAAATGGTAAGGTCAAGAAAGTTGTAAAGAGTTTTTTTTTTCCCCTGTACAACAGGTAACTGGAGCTTGTTGTGAGAATGTTCTAGGTTACATGCCAGTCCCAGTAGGTAAAGCTGGTCCCCTATTACTGGACGGTCAGAAGTTTTACATTCCAATGGCTACCACAGAGGGTTGTCTGGTGGCCAGCACCAACAGGGGATGTAGGGCACTCGAGGTAAAATCAGTAGTATACAAAAGCTGTTCGTTTCCAACTCTAAAATCTGGAACTGTCAAAAAGTAATCCATTATTCAATTCATCATTGATACCAATGACAAAAGATCAAAAAATGATTAATTGATTATTCTATAGAATTATAAATAGCACAGAAATTTCTATCTAAAAATGAGAACAATTGCTGTAAATGTAGTTTTGCAAGATGAATGAAGATCTTGACATTTAATGGTCACATTGTGCATCGAAAAGTAAAAACAAAATATTTTTGCATGCACTAATTTAATGAGTACCAGTACACACAGATTTTATTGTATAAATTTATGAACACCAAGGATTGGTAACTTGAAATTTTGACAGAAGTTATAAAACATTGCTCTTATGTAAAACCAAATATTTTGGGCATCATTTAATGCTTTATTTTGGAGTCCAAGCAGTTTCCAATGTATTGCAATATATAAAAATAATTGTTAAAGTTAGAGTGGTAATATCATGCATCTGCTATATTTTGTCCTTTTTCAAAATATCTAAGTTACTGGCTCTGTAGGTCATATTTTTAATTTTGTGACCTGATCCAATGATTAATTAAGTTAGGCTGGCTAAGTTTGTAAATTAAGTTTCAATTGAATGAAAGGCAAACCTAACAAAATAATTTAAGACGAATTGGGGTACATGTATACAATTAAAAGAAGATTTATTCTGTTAAAGCTAGAGACTAGTGTATATTTTAATTTAGAAATTTTCCTGTATATTTATATTGATGGAGATAAAATTACATTGATGATTTTAGAAGAGCAAAGGAGTTCGTAGTGTAGTGATAGGAGATGGCATGACAAGAGCTCCAGTTGTACGAATGCCTAATGCCATAGAGGCCAGGTTTGTTGTACAAAATTTTGCAATTTGTTCATTTAAACATACTACATAGTACATGAATAAATGCATGTTGAACTATTTTCTTCTTTTACAGCAAATTGAAAGAATGGATGGAAGACAACTTCTGTGCATTAAAAACAATATTTGATGAGACAAGTCGGTAAGAAACAAAAAGATTTTCAATTCAAATTTGATGTATTTAACCTTCCAAAAATAAACAACCCATCTTTTGATTGTTGCAAAACTAATAAATGTAACTTAACATATGTATTTTTTAGGTTTGCTCGGCTAAACAAGTTGCACATTGCACAAGCTGGTCGACTACTATATGTGCGTTTTATTGCTAGTACTGGAGATGCCATGGGAATGAACATGCTATCAAAGGTAACAGGAAAGAAAAAATAATGAAAAATAAATGAACACTGTAATTTTCCTATTTTACAAATATTTTAGAGTATGATTTTTTTTCTATACATTTGCTAAGTTATTCTTTGTGGGTTTTTTTTGCCAGGGATCTGAGAAAGTTATCCATCATGTGAATGAATTATTCCCTGAGATGGAACTTCTCAGTCTGAGTGGAAATTACTGCACAGACAAAAAACCTGCAGCTGTAAACTGGTAGGATTTCAATGTTTTATGTTTTATGTAACTTTAGAGTTGAATATATGAATACAGTATTTTTACCATTTACCGGTAATATTGGGAAGTTATCTTCTTACAATAAGTTTTGGCAGGTAGTGTTGCAACAGTTTGTGTATTTATCTGATAATAAACAATGTACTAGGTGCATTTTACTTCTGTCTTGATTTGCTGATAGGATATATACATTGTACATTTTAATAAATGTTCAGATTATTGTAAAGTTCATAAAGGTTTTAACTTGGACTTAAATTCCCACACAGACATAATTCATGAAGATCATGCATGGACTTTATCATTCAAATACCCTAATGGTAATTTAGAAAGCTTTGTAAGATTCATTTTCTCCATTTATCCTGAAATGTTTGAAAAAAAATTTAATGTTTTTCAAAGTAAAAATGAGCTGTAATGCCTTAACTCTTTGAGTCTTTATATAAACATGTATAAAGGAAGTTTGTTTATGTAAATGTGACGTAGTTGTATGACATTGTCCTGTTCATCAGCAGAAGTTTATGAAAACTTGAACTTTCTGATGATTTAAAAAGGAATATTTATGTAAAAACATCAATAATGTAAATATCAAGAATTCAAATTATAATGTAAAGACCACATTTTTTGTAGGATTGAAGGGAGGGGCAAATCTGTTGTGTGTGAAGCTGTCATTCCAAGTAACGTTGTAAAGAACATTCTCAAAACTAGTGTTACTGCTATGGTAGATCTAAATGTAAACAAGAATCTGATTGGTTCAGCCATGGCAGGAAGTCTAGGAGGATTCAATGCTCATGCTGCAAATGTTGTGTCAGCAATATTTATAGCCACTGGACAGGTACAGATTTTAAACTGGATGTGACTAAATATGCTCTTGTGTGGATGTATATTTGTAATTTGTATTTTTATCATATTTTTTTTATTTAAATCAAATGCAATTTGTGCATTTCATTTCTCAACGTTATGATTATGTTATATCTGTGTTAATTAGGAAAAACTATCATGATCATAATCAGTAAAAAACAAGATGTGTTTGTGAGACACTGCTGCCCCCACATGGCAACTCAAGTTTTAAAGTTTTTCAAATGTAGGTCAAACTCCAAGGTCAAAGTCATGAGGTAAAAAATGTTGGTACCCAAAGAAAGGTCTGGTCATATGGAATACACGTGAAATATAAAAGCCCTAACACCAACTGTTCAAAAGTTATGGCTAAGATTAAAGTTTAATAAAATTTTGAAAAAGAAGGTCAAACTCCAAGGTCAAGAGGTCAAATATGTTGGAATCCAAAGAAGTTCTTGTCACACGTAGCACTAACTGTTCAAAAGTTATGAGAAAGGTTAATGTTTTTGCGGACAAACAGGTCTTGATGAATGTGTACTTTGAAACTTTAACTCCTTGATTGATGTGTTGGAAATATTGTCTGACTGATTGAACAATGTTTTACAGGATCCTGCCCAGTGTGTTGCCAGCAGTAACTGTATAACCCTAATGGAGGCCACAGGACCTACCAAGGAGGATCTGTACATCAGCTGTACCATGCCTTGTATAGAGGTTGGGACAGTGGGGGGAGGCACTGTCTTGCCAGCACAACAGGCCTGTCTAAAGGTAAGCTTTTCTGAAGAATTACATGTCTACTTTAAGTCTCTGAAGAATTTGACCTCTTAATGTTTGCTCAGGGTGTTTACTATTCACTATTTGTTTGCTCACTAATCGCATTTTTGTTTTTCAGTTTGGTTAGTGTTAATTAAAAGCATTTTAGCATTATTATGTAATTACCTGAGCAGTAATTAACCAATGGAAATTGTATGAAAACCAATGAAAATCTACGGGGACAAGCAAATTTTTAAAAATAAAAATTTATATACTAAGTGGTGGATAGATGTAAATAATGATAAGAAATAGAAAAATGATTGAATCCAAATTATATTTTACCAGATGATTTTTTTAATTGATTTTTTTGTTGATTAAAAGCAAGGGAAATAACGCTTCAGGATAGGATAAGTTCAGAAGTAGGGCAGGTTCCAATCTTACATTCTGATACTAAAACATGAATAATATGTCTTAATAAACTGAGTATTCAGCCTATACATATCTTTTATGCATTCAATTCATTGACTCTGAGGCTATTATGGGCTGGATACCTTAAATGAAAGAAAGTTAAATTATAAGGAATATTGTTTAAGGAATGGTGTATTGGTGTTTCACACAGACACAAACATGGTTTTATGATATTTTTTTTCGTTTGATACAGTGACTTGAATGAGTCCATATTTTAGCAGCAATTTATCTTTATTATGAATTATGTTGACCTTTTAGATGCTTGGAATACAAGGACCAAATGCTGAGAATCCAGGAGCCAATGCCAAACAGTTAGCTAGGGTTGTTTGTGGGGCTGTGTTAGCTGGTGAGCTATCTCTTATGGGAGCTCTGGCAGCAGGGCATTTAGTTAGGAGTCATCTAAAGTACAACAGGTACCTTATTAATTCTACATGTCTTAGTTTATAACATCATGGAAGTTTATTGGTTTAACATCTTGGATAAGTCATAGGACTGGCACTTATAACAAATGCCTGTGGTGCCATGCACATGCGAATCATTGACTATACCCCTAAAAATATGCCAGTCCATTGAAGGTCAACTCCCAGTGTAAGTTTTTACCCATTTTCAGTAGGATGGATTTGACAATGAAATTAAAGTGCTTTGTCCAAGGTCACAAAACAATGTCAGGTACCCACGACAGACTCTGAACCAGTGACCTTATGGTTACTGTTGAAAATCCTTCAGTTGATTGAAGCTTGAGGTCAGACAGCAAAGGATTTTGATAATTGTTAACAACAATAGTTCAATTGTTTTTGTTTTTTTTTAAACCATGACTGCATATTTCACATACACAGAGAAAGACACCTGCAAATTTGATGTCACTCCCTTAAAGGTCATGGTCAAAATATGAAGATTAATTATATGTTTGCCAACATTTTTATTTGGAAAAAATATCTCAAGGTCTTTGCAGACAAATGCTTTTATAATAATGACGTAGCTTAGTGATGTTAGAGAAATCACAGACTTTTGGGTTAATCAGTTTAGGTCAAAAGGTCAAGATTGCAGATTGATATTTCTATCACCTCCATTATGTGAGAGATAAATTGGGTTCTTGTTTACCGGTAAGTAATGAATTCATATTCACAACACAGATGAGTATGATTAAAAGGGGAAAGAAAAACTTTGAACATATATTGCACTGTAAAGTGCATTAATACGGCCAGGGCTCACATTAATATTTGTCTGATTGTCAATGTCCAGTTCATTTTGAGATAGGACAATTCAGTCTACATAAACACTTGTCTAAATGGACAAGTAAACTTTTTTTTACCATTATGGAGGAGTGTGAATAAATTCCCACAGAATTCATTAACAAGATATATTGTAAATATACATTTAATGTATTAGTAGTGTACTTGGTACAAAGATTGTTTATGGCCAAAGTTTGAACGGTCACTTTAACAAAAATGCAGCGGCAGGTATCAATTTGTAAGCTTGCTTACAGTTCCTCTAGTATATACTTTCTTTAATGATTAATAATTCTTCTTTTCACAGGTCAAGTGTGTACCTTGCATCTAACAGGTCCAGTGTAGATTGTTCTCAGTCCCAATCACAATTTTTACCTTCACAGCAGGAGAGTTCCACTACCACTTTACATCCATCATCAGCTAGCCTCAGGAAGTGTAAAAACAGCTGATAATGGCTCCTTTGTAGGTTTTTTTTTCCAATGGTTGTGTGCCAAAGGTCTTTTAAAATTGAAAGTGGACTGCCTGCCAAGTTTGCTTATGAGGTTAAAACATAATGTTCACCTATGCTGATATAAATGCTTGACAATCACAAGATAATGTCATTATAAGTTGTTGTGGCTGTATAAGCTTAACTTAATGAATATTCTCATTGATGTTTATGAGAAATATACCTGTATGTAAGTCATCATTTATGATGGAATTCCCAGCTAATATAGTGTGTAAAGGTGCTGATAGTTTTTGTTGCAAAATTAAACTGTCATTTTGATTTCTTTCTTTTTATGAATAATTATTTATACAAAAAAGCTAGCAATCATTTTTATGTTTGTTGGAATTTTGAGCATTCAGAAGCATTATCTTTGGTATTTGTTTTTTAGTATTTATTATCATGTCATTTATTTTACATGTATAGCAAAAATACAGCAAAAACTTACAATGTCTGTTTGAATACTGATATGTGAATAAAAACAAAATATGAATACCTTCCTTGATTATTATATCATCACTGGGGGATCTATCATTGATATTTCTCCAGCTTTCAGACCTGCCAAGTTAAATATTAAATTGAATCATGGTTGTTTAAAGGGAGGAGGATAGGAATCTAAAGTTTGATTTTATGCCTATTGTACAGGGAAAAATCATGCTCTATAATGTTACTATTGTGTTATACTGTAGTTGACAAGTGAAAAGAATGATAGTCATCCTACTTGTATTATTATCTTTCAGAATAATACGGTCAATCTTATTGGTCTAGAGCAATATATGTCAGATGCTGGGAGACAATTTGTGATGTTTCATGTGCAGGGTGACCAATGTGTTGTCTTCTCCTTCAGATGACAAGAAATAGCTTACGTGAACATGCAGGGAGACAACTGTGTTGTCTCACTTTAGATGAAGATATGCCGTAAGCAAAATAACTTGTGTATGTAACTGATATGTATATGTGGGATCGGTGAACAATAAATTCTAATGGTGATGTCAAAGTTGTATGACATATTTTGAAAGTATGGAATCATAGCAGTGGATAGGAGAACACGAGGTTTGTCCGATATTTCTAACAAGTCCATAATAAACATTTATTGACTGGGTTCATATGCAACATGCATTTTGTCCGACTCAATTTTATCACTGTTGAACACCAATGATTGCAAATAAGATTTAGCTGATCCCGCCCTCAGTGTAACATAAGCAGTCCAGTATCTCACTCTGGTCAAACATCAATTTTTTTGGACTGCTTAGTAAAATATTAGAAATGTTACACATTTTTAGGATATAATGTAGGAAACAATTTTTAAAGGTAAAACAAATGTATTTGTTATATTCAGTAAAGAATAGTCTCCATATTCTCTACATAACGAAACAGTCAATATAATTAATATTAGCTTCTCCAAAAGATATTGACAATCACTTAATTTTTACCACTGATTGGCAAAGAGAGTTTTCTCAAAATATCTGATTAATAGATTGATTTATTGTGAAGTAATGATATAACCATTGTGACTTCCATAAAAACATAACATCACAATAAAATAAGCAGGAAACACAATTATGGCAACTTGAAGATTTGCTAGCACTACAATCAATGTGCAGAATAATGCACTGGATACAAATGAGCTGCTGAATTTAGATGAATGAATTCAAAATACTATTTTATTGACTTGTTTTGTTTTTCATATAATAAAACAATTATTGACTGTGTTTTGGGTCAATATTGATATTGGTTATCCCCCAAGAGACGCAAATATTGCCCTCTGCTCCACATTGGGCAATATTTCATCCATTGGGGGCTAATATAATCAATGTTGCCCTCAACCCCAGTCAATGTTTGTGTAGTAGTTATAATGGCATAACTTAATGAAGCATTTGACAGTTTTAAATAAAAGAAGTTCCATGGTATTTTTAAAATAATTTATTAAATATATACAATGTATACATCTGTACATGTAAATGTTATTCATAATATGTATTTACAAATGGTGGATAACTACTGCATAGAAAAAAAAACAAAGGCAGTATGTATACTGTAGATAAGTGTATAAATCAGTCTCTCATGAAGTTTTTTGCATATTGAATTAAGAATGCTGTTTTCAAAGGATTTTGATTTTCAGAAACCTGTTTTCCATAATGCTGTAAACCAAGTGCATACATTTTGATTTCTTTTATAATAAATTATCAGTTAAGTTGGCCATTATTGAAACAGAGTCTAGGTTAAAATCCAACTGAAAAATATATCAACAGCAGCTTTTATATAAAAAATTGTGCAAAATGCAACAACAAAAAAATCCTTGGAAGTTCAGACAACAATTTATATGCTTGACTTCTGTCTGGCTGTGTATTTCTGTGGTTATTTTAGTTAAAGGGAATGGAGTTTCCTAGCTTACTACAGGGTAAACATCATCACCTGGAACCCCCATCATGATCATGAAGTAGTTGACATCTTGTTCTGCTCGATGGGAATCTAAATATGTGTGACATGATACTTCATATTCCTGGGTTCCAAATGGAGTTCTGAAAGGAATCAGAAAATTGTGTATCACACAGCTGAGATGGGAAGGAAAGCTAAAGACTCTTGACTAAGGTATAAGTAAGTGATCATGTGGTGTAGTATAATATTTTGATACTACCAAATACTGAACCCTGGGTTCAATATTATATATTGCATAATATTTTGTACCTAGGTTCACTTTTTGACTGTGATCTACCGGTAATCCCCCCCTTTCATTACACATTGAACCCAGATTCATAATATTATGGCTAAATAATATATTTGCCCCAGGTTTAATTTTTCACAGCAAAATATTGATTTTTCTCCCTCAATTACTACAATGTAGTTTTTTTTTCTTGGGGGGTGGAAAGAAAAGGTTCAAGATATTATGACTGCAATTAATATTGAACCCGATTAGATGTCAATTGTTAAGAGGAAGAGCTAAAAATTATTATGATTGAGAAATGTTGACCCAGTTCAAGTTTATTTTTGTTTTTGGTAAGGGGGTGAAGATATGACTGCAATATATCAACCCCCCCCCCCTCCCCCTGCATTAGACTTCAATGGTTAAGAGAAGACTGGGTTCAGAATAGAATGGTAAGAAATGTTGATCCTTCTATTGTTTTATTTTTGGTGTGGGTTAGGAGGAGAGAACTCAATTTAAGATTTTATGGCTGTGAAATACTGAACCCCCATTAGACTTCAACAGTTTACAGGAGGATTTTAAAATATAATGGTTGTGAAATGTTGAATCCCTTTAAGGGATGGAAAGGAAGAGGGGGTTCAAGATATCATGGCAGCAAAATACTGAATCCTTGTTATACTTCAATTGTTAAAAGGAGGGAGTTAAAAATATGGTTAGAGAAGGGGGTTCAAAATATGGCTATGAAATCTTGACTCCCTTACAAATGTTATCTTTTTTCAGTGAGTGTGAAATATTACGGCTGTGATATATCAAAGCCCCATTAGACTTCAAGGGTTAAGAGGAGGGGATTCAAAATATTTTGGCTGGAAAATGTTGACCCCATTACATTTTTTGTGACATGTTTTTTAAGGGATGCTTTTTATGCATTTGAATAGCTTTCATCGACATGTATCAGCATATGAAGTTTGATAATAATATCATGAATAGTTTCTTTTAAACTAGGCTTAATATCATTTTGAGATAAGTGAGGTCATGTTCAAAGGAAGGACCAAGGTCAAAAAATGTTGATGCAGTTGAACAGCTCTGATAATAGGCATATAATGTTTGATAAAAATATCCTAAGTTTCTTTGAAATTGAGATAATCGTTAATTTCAAAAAGTGAGGTTAAGGTCAAAGGAAGGTCAAGGTCAACAACTGTTGATCCATTTGAATAGCTTTCATCAATATGTATCAGCATATGAAGTTGGATAATAATATCATGAATAGTTTCTTTGAAACTAGTTACTTAGCTTAACACAAATTTATGAAATTTGAAGTCAAGGTCAAAGAAAGGGTAAAGTCAAACAATGTTAATGAAGTTGAATAGTTCTCATCAGTGTGTATCAGCATATAAGATTTGATAAAAATATCTGGAAAAGTTTCTTTGAAATTAAGCTTAACACAAATTTAAGAAAAGTGAGGTCAAAGGAAAGGTCAAGGTCAAAAAATGTTCATGCTTTTGAATAGCTTTTATCAATATGTATTAGCATATGAAGATTGATAAAAATATATTGAATAGTTTCTATGAAACTGAACTATATGCAAAGTGTGATGGAAGGACAGATCTAGAGGGACGGAAAACAGACATGACAAAGTCAGACAAACACTATATGCCCCAGCCATATTCATGGTGGGACATAAAAATAATAAAAGTGTAGTTCAGAGGTATGAACTTTGACCTCTCACATAGTCATATTCTTATTTTTTAATGCATTATTTCATTAAATATTCCTGTGTGAAAAGTTAAACTTTGTGACCTTGTGACATTTTTAGACTTATGAATATTATACACTCCAGGGTACAGCTTCAAAATTATTGTGAAGAAATCTTACAAATCATGTAAATATATATGTTAATTCATGTAAAAGGCCATTGGAACATGTACATGAAATTACTCAATCTGATATTGACTTACCTGATGACAAAATTTTCCTCAACTGCCAGATCATTGTTTGTATATTTGTGGTTAATTAAGGTAATAGCATTGGCCTAAAAAGTATAGGAAAACATTTCAATACAGCAACTGAAAATTTTTATCTATTTTTCAGTCATGATGTCCTTGCTTGTTATCTATTTTAATGCTGCATGGAAGCTTTAGAAATTTCACCAAATGGAACAAAGTGTCTCTTACTATATCCCAAATACACATAGTTCATCAAAAACTGAGACAAAGGTCAAATTGTAATTTAAAAAAATAACTCAAAATTTATCAATCTTTTTAAGTAATTGAAAATGCTCACGAAAATGCCACTGAATTCACAAAGTAATGTTTATTAACCATGGTGTTAAGTTCATTTTTTTTTTAATAGTCAACCATATTATTTATGGAAAATTATCATATTTAAAATCTCAAATATATATTCTCAGAAAATGTGCATAAAAGCACCAGCTATGCATTTTCAAATTGAAAATTGACCAACAAGTATATTTTAGGACAAAAAAAAATTATTGAGGCATTTGGAGAAAATTGAATTTTGTTTTTTCTTTTTTCTTTCTTTTTTGTTTGTTTGTTTGTTTGTTTTGTTTTTGCTGAAAAGATCTTAATTTCAAACTTCATATTGAGACTTTTTCAATTAAATAATAATTTTAAGAGTAATTATTCCTGGCTGAAGAGCAGATATTCTTAATAAGTTAATTATAAGATTATATGTTAATATTTCCCTATCTCCAAATGAATTTTTAAAATTAAAATTATAATACTCACTGGGACAGGGATGCCTTCATATTCCATCCTCATCTGTGGATTATAGTGAAGAATTCTCCATTCTGTCATAAAGGACGGCTCACTGACAAATGTCACTTCTTGTTTCCGAGATCTGGCTGCTGATTTCTCCAGAGTGGCATGGCAGCTTGATAAATAAAGCTGCGTGGAAACATTTTGATACTGGTTAAAAATTATTGTTCTTTGTTAAGTGTGAGGAAATCTTAATAATTTTCAATCAGCAGATTCAAGAAACTTTTCATTTAGTGATCATAATTATTTGATTTTTTTTTTTTTAAATTCAACTTAAATATCTTTGTATTGAATTTAATGAATCTTAAATCAAACTTACACTTCCACCCTCTTTATCTAGTGTACAGAGATAAAACAAATCTCCGTACCTCAATGGTTCTCCCTTCTGTTTGCTTCCATCAATGCTGAATGTGAAAATAATTATGCATAAACATTCATGCATTTGTCACTGTTGATCGAGTGATATCAAAATACACTTTTGACTAATGCACATTCAAATGAGTTAAACAGAAATGGAAATTCTGCAGTTTTTAAAAGTTTTCATCCCAGAATAAATGCACTTGTATAAACTATTCTTGAAAAATATATACTAAACCTATTCAAATGTAACACATTGTCATCATATTTGATATTAGGAAATTCTACATATCAGAAGGTATATATCACACAATGTATATGAAAACAATATTATTATATTCATATAAGAAATAAAATTGTTTCATATTGGTGCCATTTTTCCTAACCTTGTTATAACAAAGGAGCTTCTGAGATTGGAACAGAGATCCTTTGAAGCAGATACTTGACAAGGTCCTTCAAGTTTTTGAGCCTCAAGAATTTTGTTGATAGCAGGAGTTACACAAAGCTGACAGGTGTCTCTTGGTTCTTTGTGGGCAAAATATTTAGTACGATCTTTTGTTCCTGGACATCGTAAGCTCACAATATCCCCAAAGTGGACACATCCATCTCTTGATATACTGAGGTCAATCTGTAACAACAGAAATCTTTATATTAAAAATATTGGTCAGACTCATTGACATTTATTTTTATGTGATGGCATGATTCTGGGTAATGTGGAATTTTCAAGCAATGGCAGCAAAACCTGTCTTACCTTATTGAATATAGTTTGTTCTAGTTTCGTTCTTTTTTGGTAAAGGAGCTGTCCTTGTTCCCTTTTTTCTAGGAAGTCTTTTAATGTATCCTACAAAGTAAATTCGTATGATAACATCTGTGTCTTTTTTTTATACAATAAAAAATTGAAATAAAATTTAATATACAAAAAAGTCCTGGTTAACTTAATTGGTTAATTAAAGGACGAACAGCCACAAGTGCTGACGATGGAGAATCAAGCATTTTGTATTGTTCTTATAGTAAGCTTAGATCACCATATGATTGATGACAAAAAAGAAAAAAAAATTCGAAAGAGTTGGGGAATATAACATAAACTACAAATGGTAAAAAAAATTAAAAGTACCTCCTCTAACTGGATATCCTCATTCCAGTTTCCTACACGCACAGAGGGATTGTAAGTCCTTACGTTCGTCATCTCGCACTGTGACTGTACATACAACTACTACTACGGATGTTTTCCTTGGCAACAACTTAGGACCGCACCAAATGAACTTTTTTTGTTGTAAAAAAAAAATTTGTTTTAACTTTAGTTGAAAAGTACCTTTTTATTTATTATACAATAAAAACTAACGTTCTGATTTTTATCTACGGAATTTTTATTCTAAAACTTCTTAAGTTTGAAATTTTAACGGACAGAAACTTTTTTCCCGGCTAGATTCAATTAAGTAATCCTGATGCGTATTACTTTAGGAAGCAATTTCACTTTGAGGGGGCACAACTATACATTTTCAGTTAGGGTGCACTAGGCACTATCAAGTACCAAAATTCCTTGACAAGCAAAAAAAAAAAAAAAGAAAAGAAAAAGAAAAAAAAAGTCATCAGATGTTAATATCATTGAGGGGCGCACAGGCATATTCTATATAGAATAGAATAGAATAGAATAGAATAGAATAGAATAGAATAGGATTTATTACCAAATCAGGGCCCAATGGGCATAAACATATAACATGTATAATTACAGATAGGATAACAGACAGAATACAACATATAATGAAGAGCAATTCTTCCATTTAGTACATTGGTGGTGTTTTGAGTGTCATATGTAGACATAGGTTGTCTTGATTTAAGATATATCTGTATATACATATCGGCAAAACTATTGGGGGGGGGGGGGTGGCACGGGCGGCCGTGTCCCCCGGTTCCTACGGCCATGTATTATATTTAAACTTCTAAAGAAGATGTCAAGAGCATATGTATTACCGCTTTTTGAGAGATTGTAATAATGTGGATAACTTACATTTCCTTTGTCTGATTTGGAAAAAAATTTCTAAAGATTAAATCCAACAGTTATTTTTTAACGCAGTGTTTATCTAAAAAAAAAAATGATGTCCCTGTACACCTTATTTTACCACTCTATAGTTTTTAAGCATCATTATTAAAGAATACTCATTTATCAAATTTGTAAAATCTTTAATCAACCTTTCATTTACTAATCTTGACCTTTAAAGAAGTTTCACAATATTGACCACTGCCGACAAAATACAGATACGCCGTTTAAAAAAATGAAAACAATTTAACTAACATATTAACTCAGAACAGATAAATATTAGAAAGTACCACACTCACATTAATTCATAATATCACCATTTTTAAAAATCGTCTTTTCTTATTCCTTGCCAGATTGGTTTTGTTTTTCCCTGATAGCGACATCATCCAATCAAATGTTCCAAAATTATTCACGTCATATGAGTAATCTGAGCAGGGAAGATAATATTTTTTTTAGAAGGTATGTAAATATTCACCAAATTTCATTGCTTTGTAATTAAAAAACCCATCAGTTATGTTCATTGAAGCAATAGAAAGATGTTAATACATGCACAAGTTTGTATGAAACTGTGCATCGGTTCTGCTGCAGCATGTTTACATCAGGGAGGGTTCCAAAACGATGGATTGGATGGCAAGAACCGAAGTGTTGACAGGAATATAATAATGGAATGTTTGTTACATCTCCTTACCCTAGCTAATGAGGTGCCCTTAGCAAGTATATAGATGTGTTTTATGTTTAACCGACATCTCAAACGTTGTTTTTTTTTATCCTTCTTTTTCCCCAATATCCTTGGTTATATGAATGGCATGGTAAAGGGGTCAAAGATTTTATCAGTATGAAGTCAGTAAAATTGTGAAATATGAAGTGAAAAGAAGAGCTTAGAGCTCAGAAAATGCAGTGTGCAGAGTAGCATTGTCACACATTATTCTGCATGCTGCAGAAATAATTTGTTAGAGCAAGATTGTTTGACTGGAGTCTACATGGGACGTTCTATCGTTAAAATATTTGGGAACGACTTTACTTTACCAGTCCCCAGAAAAACGCGCTAAAATATAGTGTCGCCGTAGGCGACTTCAATATATATGAGATTGTGTGAGCAATCGAGAAAAAAAAAAAATGAGGTTTTAAGCCTTTTTTACCCCAAAATCGAATTCTATGTTTAAAAGTTTAGTTTAAAACTTTGTTTTTAAACAAAGATTTTAACCTTGTTCTCTGAAAAAAAAGTAATAAATATTGTTTATTCAGTGAAAAGGAGACAAAAATTAATTGTGAACGAAGCATGTGCTGCACATGCTTAGTGCCGTTTCTTTCGTACTTCGTCATTTTTTCATGTAAACAAACCAACAAGATGTCGTTGAAGCTGAATTAAGATCTTGCAAAAAATACAGATGCAACTGAATTTCTTAATTAATCTAAAAGAACAAGACACTATAAACCCTAATCTCTCGGATGGACTAACCCAAATCTCCCAGGCGGATGCTACAAGCATTTGCTAAACCATGGTAGACTAACCCATGTGCGAGGACTAGCCCTAATCTCTCAGATGGATGTGAGACTAACCCTAATCAGTCGAAAACTTTTGCAAGGACTAACCCCTAATCTTTCAGGGGGGTGCAAGACTAACCCTAACCAGTCGAAAAATGTGCAAAACTAACTGTAATCAGTTGAGTGATGTAAATCTGACGTCATAGTGCAATGAGCGCGTGGATCTGGGGACCGGTAAAGTCTACCGAAATATTTGTTCTACAGACCCAGGTTAGCAATAAAATTGTTTCTGTGTTGGCAATGTAACAAATAAACAGTGCCAGATGAATCTAATTTACACTTACACCATGAACAATGTAGAGAGTTACAAATGTCAACAAAGCGAATAATTTTGAAAAAAAAAAATGGAGAAAATTTGTTATATTTTCCCTTCAAATAGATTTTTTAGGTGGAAAGTATATGCATGTGTACAAGATACGATTAATTCGGTTGTTGTTTTTAATGCAATCACCATTTTATTCTTCCAAATTAGTGCTGGTAGGTATTCTCCACTTATGTTTGATTTATGTTTCCATATACAACAAATTGGAAGATGTTTTAAATTAAAAAAAAAAAAGTAATCAGATATCATGTGACATGAGAGCTGAATCCAAATGCCAGTTTTCAAATATGCATAAAATAAATATTGGCTGGGGGGGTTTGAGGTTCCCCCAATGGGGCTTTGTCAATGACCCATGAAGGTGCCTAAGTGGCCCCCTTGACCCCAGACTTATTCTCATATTAAAAAAAATAAATCAAATAAATTGCCAAGTAGGTGTAGCTTTCTTTTCAAATATCCAGTAGAGTTAGTCTAAGAGTCTCGTCTTAGATTTCCCCTTTTTATTTCTGATAGAATTATGTATTTCACCCGTCTGTTGTCTGTCTGTAAACTTTTAACGTTTTTGACATCTTCTCAAGAACCATTTGGCCAATTTCAACCAAACTTGCCACAAAGCATTCTTGGGTGATGGGGGATTTAAGTATGTTCTAATGAAGGACCACATCCTCTTTCAGAGGAGAAAGTTATTAAGAATTAGTGAAAATTTAATGGCATCTTTCAAAAATGTTTTTCTCAAGAACCACTGGGCCAGAAAAGATGAAACTAATGTGAAAGCTTCATTACATAGTATAGATTCAAGTTTATTCAAATCTTGACCCTGAAGAATAGGGTGGAGTCACAAAAGATGATCAAATTTTTACAAAGGATTATATAGGTTTTTACTTTAATTTTGAAAAGAGTCTAATTGTCCACAAGTTTTGTGAGAATTTTAATGTCACACCATTGGGAGATCTGCTTGAAATATGTGATCTATGAAAACATAATGGAAAATTTTATATATATTTTAATTATTTACTAGCAATATAATTTAAACCATCTGGAACTGAGAATAAGTGAGAAGCTTGACTTGTTGCTAAAAAATGAGACATTCCCAATCTATTTCTAAATAAGAATTTTATAAAACTTAAAACCTGATTTTCTTTTAGAGTGTAATATATAAAAAGAAATTTCAATAGTTGAGTCTTAGTCTGATCAATAGCTACATGGTAACATGTAAAAAGAGAAACTGCTAATGCCTCTAAAGTCACATTTAATCTAGTCAATACAGACCAGAAATGTGGAAGTGTCCAACTAATACATCCACTGGGTGATTGATGAAGAGGAGGGGTGTCTTATTGCTCCCTCAGGAGTCACCAGTAGATCAATAAACCATTCTCTATCTATTCTAGTTAGCATCCTTAATTTGCCAGACTTTTGTTCTATTGATATTCATCAGTTTGTGGGCTAAAATATGAGTAAACTAAAAATACCAAATACTAAAACTTGTTATACTAATAGTAATGTAGTGCAACATTATTTAACATCTATAATAGTGTAGAATATACAAGAAATTTTAATTTAAAAACCTTTTCAGATCTAGATTATTTACACAGTATACAGATCTGAACCTCAAATCATCAAAGTATTTAAAAAAAAACAAACAAACAAACAAACAAACAAACAAAAAACCTTGCTTTTTTTGTAGGCATAGAATGCTTAGATGTGTAAAGGTGGTTTTATATTATTATTGTTACTGCTCATACACTAGTATTTAGCATCTTATTCAACCAATAATAGTCCATATTATATATAAGCATGTATAGATCATACAAATTATAAAGATAAGTTACTAGTAATTATATGTATATGACTTGTACATATATGTATTTAAAAGTATTTCCTCAAAGTGTTTTTATTAAGAGTTTGAAATGTTCTTTTTTTTGTAAGAAATCTTACAGTTATTAAGGAAGATAATTTTTTTTATGGGATTGAGTTTGTTACACAGGGAAATGAGTCAGTTTTCTTGTTGGTCTTAACTGATCAACAAGGAAATGAGAAACTCTTCCCACTGTGGCCTCTATCTATATTGAGGAGAATGCAGTCTTACTGTAAGTAAATTCACTTTCTATTAAATCTGGACAGCTGCTGTAAACAATACCCTTCTAATCCTCCCTTGTCAGAATCGTAATAACCCAGCGCCCCATCGAACCAAGTTCAACCACCAATGCCTCTGAACTTAAGTGCTGTGTTAGTAAATATGTATATCTCTCTTTGAAGGAACATGTTTTGCTGAAGTACTCCCAATCAGCATCAAAAGCCTAAAAACAGATAAACTGTGCTGGAATAAATTGTGTCTACTTGAACCTGACAACTAACACAAGATTTCTGTGTAGCCCCTATGTTTGACCAATGCCAGATTCCCTGCGTTATTGATCTGCTGTTGGTGTATCTGTCTTTCTCTGGCTTATGAATTATTCTTACTCTTACTATAAACACCAACTTGCACTGTGTTTTTCTCCTGCTGACATTTTGTATAGTGAGTGTTGACAGACAGTGTTGCATGGGAATCGCTGTAGTGTCTTATTGGGTCTGTTGTCCAAAAGTTGAGTTTTAATTTCACAGAAAAAAAAATGTGCTTTTATATATTACATACATATCTATGGAATTTGACTTGCTAACACAGAGGAATTATTTTTCTGGAAGACAAACTTTTGTTAATGAAAAAGGTACAGATTTATTACTGTTTAATTTTTTCCCTTGCATAAATATTGATTGTTAAACATTTCTATTTTCCTTTACGTATTTTAAATGAGTTCTTTGTATATTGTTATATCTGGCTCATTTAACCTGATATTCTAGCGGGGATAAGGTAATTTAGAAGGGCCTGTGTATAGATTGTGGATTTTATAAAACTTGTTGTGTCATATTGCAAACATTGGGTATAGCCATGACAATTTTTACGGCTATTTATAGACTATCTATTACCCCCAGGATTTTACAGACATGTGTTTACTGAGATAAAACATAGTTTAGGAATACATGGATGTACACTTGTTTGTATGGTAAGAAATTCTTTGTAGGTAGAAATACTGAATGCTCTGAATGCATTATGAAAAATATCTTTAATGAATGAGAATTTGAGTCAGATTGCATATTTTCATTTGCAAGTATAACAAAAAATGACTGGTAAGGGTACAAACATTGTGTATGAAGGATATCTATAGAAGTATCTGTATAAATTTGCAGGTTGAATTAGTACATATAGTTAGTGTTGAGGACATCCCTGTTCATCGTACAGTATATATGGGAGTAAAGGCAGGAAGTGGATGTTTCTGCTGTTGTGAAAATGTTACTGGTTACATGAACACTTGATAAACTTTAGTCAATTAGGCCAACAAAAAAAATGATTTGTTTAATATACTCCGACTGACCCATTAAAATTGCCCCTACTCAAATTATTTTTTGCAGAACTTCAAATTCTTTTTTTTTAAAATAGGAAATTACAGATCATCTGTATTGTTTTTCATTTCTCTTAGACACTTTTTAGATAGAAAACTTTTACAACAACAGATATTAAATCCATTTACTGTCTGATGTATAATGCAAACATCATTGAATTTCTATGTTTGTGTTTTTTATGACATTTATCAATGTGTAAGATAATTTAAAAAAAACAACTACTTACCGGTAATCTAATTTGAAAATATGGGTCAGTGTACATCAAACAACAACAACAAAATAATAATGATGGCCTTAGATGAGACAGAGAAATTTTTTTAATTAGTCTTGGGATAAATATTCTCTAAGATTAGAAGTAAAATTGTCAAAAGTTATATTGTCAGTCATGGTGTTAAATACCTGGACAGTGGAGATAGATCAGACTTCATTTGGAGGGGGAGGTAGAACTTGTATAATTATTTTTACCCTGTCTTCTAATAATAAAGTTTTTGAGGAATTACCATTTAATAAATTTTCTAGTTAAAATCTTGGCAATTTATGTCATAGGTGTTTGAACTACTGAGTTTGTAGTTATCTCCATGTAACACATTTTTGCCGAAATTTGTAGATTTGTTTTGTTGATATCTGGCTGATGTAGGTTGAATTGTTGTGTATCTCTCAGACCCTGTTGTTGATATCTGGCTGATGTAGGTTGAATTGTTGTGTATCTCTCAGACACTGTTGTTGATATATGGCTGATGTAGGTTGAATTGTTGTGTATCTCTCAGACCCTGTTGTTGATATCTGGCTGATGTAGGTTGAATTGTTGTGTATCTCTCAGACCCTGTTGTTGATATCTGGCTGATGTAGGTTGAATTGTTGTGTATCTCTCAGACCCTGTTGTTGATATCTGGCTGATGTAGGTTTGAATTGTTGCCTATCTCTTAGCTCAGGGTCATGACGATAATAAGAGCTGTCTGTAACAGACAAAAAGAACATAGAATCCCCTGTCTTTGTGGTCAGAGTCAGAGACTTGTACAGGAAAAAGTGAGAGATGTCGTGAGGGAATGTGCTGATTAAACTTTGTCATCCTAAATTCACCTGACATGGAATGTAACGAGATATAGGGCTTGTGTGTGTAAATTGTTACATGCTAAAATGCCAGGTCACATTATTACCAAAGTCAGACAATTAATTCATGGTGCACTGACAGTACTGTATGTAGCATGTCATGATGTGTGATGGGTTTCCTAAAGAGAGAGTCTGTTTAGACCTTAGATTTTTATGATTCATTTTTTTTTTTTGATTTTCGGAAAAATGTACCATGAAATAACTGTATATCAGGATCATTAGTGACAAAAGAATGAATTCTGGTTGTTTGTGTCACCCTGTTCTCCTTGTAAATGTCTTTCTTTTATCTGATTCCTTCAAACATTTTGTTTACATCTTTATAATGTATTGTACTTTAATGAACAGAATCAACAAAAAAGGCAGACAGTTTTGGTCCATTTAGATTCCAACTAAAACTTGAATGATATATCATGTACATTTAGTAGGTGAGGAATATTTAAATGTGAGCAATGCAGCATTGTAAATCATTGTAAAACTGCAGATGACTTAACAAGCTCATTAATTATGTGGTATGTAAATGACTGACAAAAAAAGAACCAGTGGTAATCTTCTTATAGATCTAATCTATAATCTGTGTTTAAAATGTGTAGGAGAGCTGGCCCTTCCTTATACTTTGTTAGAGCATGTTTCTCACTTTTTAGCCATTTTGTCAGACTGCTTTGAGACATGAAATGCATACTCATGAGTTTAGTAATAGAAAGGTGTGACACTTGATCATTAAATTGAATGTGTGAAATCGAACTAATACTTTCTATGTATAATTTCAGAATTTGATATGGAACCTTACAAACATTTAAACCACTGGACATTAAATTCTCAATAAAAGGAACCATGAAATGGCTACTATAGGACTTGTGATGGGAACAGGAATGTTTACACACTTCAAAAAAGGAATTAAATTTAAATGAGTCTTGTCAGTGAACAGTGTTCCACTATGGATGGCAAGACTCTTGCCCTTCCCTCACCCACAGTGGTCAGTCCGAACCGTGTGGGTTTGGTACGGAGGACAAGTATGGAAACATACATGGTGCGTATTTATCCAGATCCTTTGATAAATGAGTGTGATTTTACTTCGATAGAGGCTGAAAAATGTACAACTGCAGCTGAAATTGTAAAAGTTGCTGTGAAAAAGTTACAGCTTGGAAATCCAGAAAAATATGAACTTGCAGAGGTCTTATCCTCAGGGGGACAACTATGTAAGGAGAGACGGCTAGAGCCAACTGAAAATCCAGTGCGAATAAAGTTACTTTGGCCCAAAATGGCTGGGAGTAATGTTCCTGCATATAAATTTTTTCTTAGAAAAAAAGATCATGAAAGCATAAATCGAACCTCATCTTGGCGAGAAATTTCTAGTGATTCAAGTCGTGTGGATTCTTTTCTTATGACATTCCTTAAACAGCCAACCAATAATAAGGAATATCCAGATTTGTGCAACCTTCCAGATTTAAATGAGATGACGCTGTTGGAAAACATCAAAAACCGTTTTGAACATGCACATATTTACACATATGTAGGATCAATCCTTATAGCAGTGAACCCTTTTAAATTTTTTCCCATATACAATCCCAAATATGTGAAAATGTACCAGAACAGAAGACTAGGGGAGCTACCTCCTCACATCTTTGCAATTGCAGATGCTGCCTTTTATACTATGCTCCGTAAAAAGAAAAATCAGTGTATTGTGATTTCAGGGGAGTCAGGGTCTGGGAAAACAGAGAGCACAAATCTTCTTCTGCACCACCTTACTGCACTGAGTCAGAAAGGTTCACATGGCAGTGGGGTGGAACAAACAATTTTGGGAGCGGGACCTGTGTTAGAGGTAAGGCTGAACATGATGGAAGTTTCATGTTTGATTTTACAAGACACTACACTTCATCTTTGCAGATTTTTATATGAGAAACACTAGTGACTTTAACATAACATACAGTGTACATAAACATGTAAAGTATGCTGACATAACAAGGGATAAATCTACTTAGTGTTCATGTACGTTACATATAAAAGTGTGTCTTTTTTAACAAGGGTAATCTACACGATGTACATGTACATGTAAAGTATGCCAACATTAACAAGGGTAAATCTACACAGTGTACATGTAAAGTTTGCCTACATTAACAAGGGTAAATCTACACAGTGTACATGTAAAGTATGCCAACATTAACAAGGGTAAATCTACACAGTGTACATGTTAAGAATGCTGATATTAACATGGGAAAATCTATGTAGTGTACATGCAAAGTATGCTGCCATTAATAAGGAAAAATTTACACAAGTGTACATGTAAAGTATGCCTACATTAACAAGGGTAAATCTACACAGTGTACATGTAAAGTATGCCTACATTAACAAGGGTAAATCTACACAGTGTACATGTAAAGTATGCCTACATTAACAAGGGTAAATCAACACAGTGTACATGTATAAAGTATGCTGACATTCAGATGATGATGTGTGCTGTTTTTAAATTTAGCCTGATATTTCCTGCTGGAGGAGGACAGGAGATAAACATTGTCGTTGTTAGGAAGGATACACTCTTGAGTCACCATCAGCCACAGGGAAAATCACCTCACTGGCTTAACCTTACACAGTTGCATTTTAGTCATTACCATGTCTCACCAAGAGATTTCAGTTTTCTCTTGTCATCAAGTTTTTCAAAATTGAGTTTTGACTGGTAAAGGGATTAGGATTAGTGTCCTTGTAAACATTTTCACTGCAAATTAGTTTAAACATTTTGCCTGGTTTAGAACAAATGCCTGACATGACAATGCAAATATTTACATAAACTTATATTTTGCAAGTGCTCTGTCATGAAAAGATGGTTATGATAATTTGTAGGCAGGAATGAAGCATATGTAATAATATGAGTATATATTTAGGTATACATACAATGTTTAAATATAAACACACAAACATTAATTTAGTGGAGGATAGTCATAAAGTACATTCTATTACACAGATAGTGTGACATTGTGAGAAATCATCATATATATGTTACATTTATAGTAACCATGGTAACTATATGTTGTATTTTTTTATTCTGCAGTTTTCGCTTGTTGAAAGATATCTATACATATCAAATTTTAATTCAATACAACATACCTGCAGGTTTTGTATGCAAGTGAATGTTAAATGAAAGATGCCTTTCAGATTGCAGTATATCTATAGGTGACTGCATTCTTGTTATTGAGGACTGCATTATGATTTTGGCAGATTTTGGGGGATGATATAAGAAGCTTATCGTAAGCCTTCAGTGTTTTGAATGTTCATATCCCCACTGAGAATTCAATACCATTTTATCTGAACTTTGCAGCAGCTAAACTGGAAATGCTGATATTATTAGGATGAAAAACACAGATAAATTTACAAGTGAAAGGTGATTTATTTGTGGGTTATGTGGGGAATGCATTTTGCTTACCATGTTGAAAAGATAAAATGCTGTCAATCTGGAGGAGTTTGAGGGATCTAAGTGAACATGGGGACTAAGGAATGTCTTAATTAAGATATAGTGACAACACCAAAGCTCCCCCTCTCTCTTTTACTTCCACTATAGGCACTGCAGCTGTTTTTAAGATGTCTGCAACATTTTGAATGGATATACTTGTTTAATGTATTAATTTTTTTATAGGCTTTGTTCTCATTTCAAAGCAACTAAAGCATGATTATAAAAATTGATTCTTTCTGTATTAACTACAACTTTGTTGAGGTAGAGGCCAGTTTGTGCAGTGTTCAAGTTATTGATTTGAGTGAATTCAATAGAAAACACAACTAGTGTTGTTGAAAAAACACATATGTATATATTTAAAAAAAAATACATATAAACATATATATATGCTTTAACTTTACCTGTAGGTGTCTGAATGGTTACAGCAGCATAACATTTTGTATTTCTGGTAGATTCAATCTCTGATTTACACTGTAGAATGTATTTGACACTTGATGATGTGTTTACAGTTTATAAACCTAAATTGTGTATATTGCAGAAAGTGTTTATTGTCTATGAGAAATCTATACACAGGCCTTGAAACCTGCAGAAAAGTGAAATGTCCAGAGGTTGGTGTAGGAAATTAAAAGTCCTTATGTCTTGTGGAATACAAAACAAGTGAAGAAGTGTTTTATCTGGCTAAATACCAGGACAGATTAAAAAAAGCTGTAAAATGTACAGAAATTCTCATATTGAAGTCGAGTTGTCTGAGTCTGATATGACAAAATACATGCTGAGTAACTGGTTGTGATTTTTGTTGCATGTTTATATTTACTCAAGACATAAGATGATGTAACTTCTCCTAAGAATTCCTTTGAAATAGTTTTTTAGTTCCCAATTTTAAGAACTACCACTAATGATGAATGATGTAATTGAAATTAAAGTCAGATGATACAAGACTGGGACTTGAACCATCTCTACATGTGATGCACAGCAGTTTGTCAATTCATTTCATGAAATTTCCTTGGTTGAAAAGTATCAAGTCATACTTTCTTGAATTTTCAAATCTGAAATACGTTTCTTAAGGCTTGTACACACGACAAGGCTTGCCTTAAAAGTGTAAAACAAAAGTCTAGCCTTAACAAGTATACCCCCCTAATATATGTTTTTTCAAGCCTTACAAGTCTGACTTACAAATAGAGTACTGCTTGAATTTTCTAAATACAAGACTTAGCTCACCTTTTCTTCTTGGCCTGAATGAAAACCATTAAGCCAAATGTCAATCTGAATTTTATTTACATGTATCAAACTATATACATGTGTAGATTGCAGTGAACACATGGTATTTTCAAATGAAATAATGTAAATACAAACGTATCCACAAATGTTTCTGTGTGAATGCAGTGGTCAGTAAAATTATTGCCAGCTTGCAGTAACATTGTCTATTTTGACAACTGAATGCGCTTAAAAAATCTGGGATTTATGGAAATGTAAATGTTTATAATCTAAGATTTGCCTTAACCTGTGGACATAAAAGTCGTACATTGTAAGATTGAAATTTATAAAGCAAGCCTTACTGTGTGTACCTGCCTTTAGATGTACATATTTCAAGTCAAAATAAAGCTAATTTAAACATAAGCATAGATTTTCCACAAATGCCATAGTTTCAATCTGACAGACAGTGAAATGCCCCAATATGTACTCATGCCCTTAAAAAGTGCCCATGACCCTTCAAGTGTTCTTCCTTCCTCCCCCCCCCCCCCCCAAAAAAAAAATTAATCTGCCTACTCCCAACCACCCCAACAGACCATTTCACAGGTTGCTTGTTTTTTGTAATATTATTGCATACATATGCATTTTTTAAATCTGGAATTCTGGTTGATAAAATCTCTTAAATCACTGGTATTAACCAACTGTCCATTACTGCAGTAACCATCATCTGACTTGGTGATAACCACAAAAGACATAGCAATGATTTCAAAAAGTCTGAAATTCTCATGTGAAAAGCATGCTTAAAATAAACAAATAAAAAAAAAATGTTTCTTAACATATATATCAATAGCAAAATAATGAAGTGATAACTGATTTATAAACATAAAAACATGCTATAACAATGCATAGAAATTAAATGCTGGAGATGTTTTAAAAATTAACATCAGTTACTGACACAAGATATTGCAATAGATGCGGGCTACTTCTTAGGTGAATGAAAGTTCCATTAATAAATGAAGTAAGACTGAATAAGTTTGATCATGTTGATTTTTAATTTAGGTATTATTACATTTCCAACCAAAGATTTGAAATATGAGATAGAATCACTTTTTTTGTATGTGTGTAGAGACATAGATTGAACTATGATAACCCCTCCTGGATATATGTTTAAGGAATAACTATCTAGTTTTTAGCTCACCTGAGCCAAAGGCTTGAGTGAACTTTTCTGATCAAAGGGTATCCGGCAACTGCCTGCCGTGACCTGTCGTATGTAAACTTTTTACATTTTGACTTCTCATCATGAACTACTGGACCAATTTCAACTAAACTTAATTGCCACAAAGCAATACCTTGGGTAAAGGAGATTCAAGTTTGTTCAAATGAAGAATCACTCCTCCTTTCAAAGGGGGGGGGGGGAATTAATAATTTATTTTATTTAGTGAAAATTTAATGGCAAGGGAGGGTGACAGGGAGTCAAGGTTTGCAATAGGATAATAAACTTTTACAATATGTAGTGAAAAAAGTTTCTTCCTGAAGAACAGCAAAGCCGTGATTAGTCATATATTAAACATAGATTATGGAAGCATCCTAAGTTGGTGTAGATTCAAGTTTGTTCAAATCTCCAGATCATCTGATGCCTTTTCAGAAGTTTTAATTTGCAATTGTTTACATTATTTTTCAAAGTTAACAGTAAATGCAATAGTACAGAACAAATATCAAATTTCATTTGCTCTTTTATTCAATTTATTTTAAGAGGTTTTTAATATTTTCCATTATTTAATGCATTTTTTCATTGTTATTGAAAATTCAAATGTCCCCATTGTAGATGAATCTAATTTATAATCTAGTCTAATCTAATAATCACCCCTATTCTCAATTTACTAAGAATCCTTAACATTTACTGGGGTAAAAAAAAAGCAGTAATTTAATAATGAATATTTCAAGAGAAAAAGTGTGAAAAAAAAGCAAGCAGTCTGTTCCATAGCTGTAGTTTTGAAATTAATCTAAAATGTGGACCATAATTCTTGAAACTTGGGTGTCTTTGCATGCAACTTAACTATAGGAGTACACAATGGAAGATTAAAAGGTCAACTGGTCCTATTCAATAGATTGAAATCTGTCTGTCTGATCTAAGGTTCTGTTCATGGGTTGACAATGTCTAGGTAAATACTGTCACTTTTAATTGA